ATTCTGGATGCTTTTGGATCATTACTACTCCTCACGAATGGCGTTATATATGTCGTCCACTGAATAATCTAATTTTCAAAAATAATCAAGGCGAGTTCAACTATTTTACTGGATGATTTTTTTTTGTACTTAACATGTATATGTTTTTCAGTTGCTTTTGCCATATATTTGTAAGTGTCACTAAGCTAAATGCAGTAACTTCTTATGGAAGGCTTATAACGCGTCATATTCCTGCCTGAAGTTTCATAAGCAGCCTGGTCGTGTTCATTATTTTTTAATTGTCATATACGTCAACAACCTGCTTGTTAACCTGGCCCGTACATACGTTACACTATATCTCCATGTCTTCTAAATTTAGAAATCATCTGAATCGCCTTTAACATTTATCAATAAACCCATCATAGTCGTTGTTGCTAATCGTATTTGGGTTTATGGATTGGTTTATCATATTAGCAGCCTAAAATGCGAACATAGTTTAGATAATTAGATTAAAAATTTAGGTACTGTCAACTGCACTAGTAAAATAACTAAATCATCAGGTAGTTGTTGGCTAAACAAACGTTTAAAATCAAAACTTCGTAGCCTGCTAGAATTAACACTAAACGAATATTTCTGAATTGAAATTTATAATTAAATTAGGCGTCTCGGATTCTTTAACGTTATAAGTTTCTGATGATTTCGAATCACCTAAAGCAACAATACCTATTTTTCCACTGACTAATCCTCAGTCAACACTATAACTAGTTAAATTTAATAGTTTCAGGATATCGTCATAAAGCATTGTCATAACTTGACAATCACGTAATATGACTGATAAAATTAATGAAACTATTAACGAAATCGGTCAACAAATTGACTTATAATTACCATTAAATGGTGTTGTTTTCTTGGTATCTTTATCCATCACAGATGATTACAGTATGTTTCTCTATCAGTTGCTCATTCAATAAATATCTCAAAACCTTTTCAGTCTAATTGATGGTTTAGCGACACAATCATGCATGCAAATAATCAGTATAAGCAGTCGAGCAAATCTCCTGTAAACTGAAAACATCAATGTCGAATTTACCCCAACACTGACTAAGGTTCAAGCCATTATCATAGATATGAGTTGGGAGTGTACTCCCCCTGGTTACAACTTATGTTCTCCCTGATAATCACAAGAGCATCACTCACTATTAATCATCTTGTAAAAACTTATTTAGCTAAATACATTTTGCAGCACCACATCACTTCGTAATATGACACAGGTCTAACTGATTTTAATAACTTGTAACCACTATATCTCAATTAAATCGTGTTCCGCCTTATGATAAACTGCATACTTGCAACTAACTTGTATGTCCAATCAGCCGGCAAGTATAAATACAAGTAAATAGTCTGCCAAAGATCAGAACATTGAGTCTAGAGCATGTCTCTTACGAATACGCTCATGTTTAACGATTTGTTCCTAGCTATCTGTCCAAAATTCATATAATCATCACTCACGTATTTAAATTTTATTTTGGTAACCATTCATGTGTATTAGTAGTATTACCAAATTCTATCACGGTCAAGTAAAAATGAGGTTGAGAAAATCTCCCCGTAACTAAATAAACCGTATCAAACTAACTGGAACACTAGTTGGAATTCTTTACCATGGTAATACTTTTGTTCCTTCAGTTAGCCTACTGATACAGATGCAATTGGAAATCAACTCTTATGGACAACTTACCGGCATAATCGTTATTTGATTTCATAATTTAAACCAAAACTAATACCAATATTAACATTTCTACAATATTCATTATTTTAATATTTCTAAACACAAAATAATTACTACCTATAAGTTAAGTTATTAACACGCATCGTTTTATTATTATTATTATAATCTCATTTTTTATAGTTCAAATAATCTTCACCCAAATTTTCATTTCAAGCGTTTTAAGCATGAAGGCAGATATTTTAAAATTATTACATGTATTTCCCGACCAGATGCTGCCGCTTTCTTTTTGATTTATCTTTCAGCTTACCAATACCCGGAGGATTCTTATTATCCTTGGTAACCTCCGGCGCGCGACGATCCCATCCAATTTGGTATCGAACCAACATCACGTTGATTCTGGTGGGAGAGTAGTGTAGTGGCATTGGACAATAGCCACACAATCCACAAAGCTGTGAACACGAGACTACTCAGAAAATAGATATTCAATATTTAACGCGGAGAAATACCTAACAATGGAGAAGGCGCGAACAATGAATTGAATGGACTGGAGTTGATCGAGTGGCATGGCTCGGCCATGCAGGCGTGGTCTCTATTCATATTAAATATATTGTTCCTTCTCTAACCTAACCTTCTTCTTGATCATGTATTGGTAATTGATACGATACAGTGAGTTGGCGTAGTCGATGGTGTGACTTCCACGTAAGATCTTATAGATTAGGCAGTTATATCATGACGAATCTACAAATTTAGGATTAGGTCTATTATTAGAGCAGTACTAATATCGTAGTAGACCATAGTTCTACAAATGGACCAAGTCGAGATATATTTGCTGGCGATCTCGTGGTATCGAAAGAATACCGAGATCGTGCCAGGATACAAACTTGGTTACAGAGCGTAACCGAATTCGTGCGAGATCACAATCAAAGTGTAAGAATAATAATGGAAGCATAATATAGCTGTCATTAGCACAGTTAAACAAAGAGCACATTAAACAGGCACAGGTACAAATGGTTATAATAATAATCGTTTTCAATAAACCAATCTTGTTCTCGTGATAAAAGTGAGTCACTACAATATCATACCAATTTTCAAAGAAGGTCGATACGGCAAACATCTCTCTACACCTTCAAAAGTTGTGCAGTCTTTGATATGTAGTGGTCTACATGACTATCTACTACCTATAAACTTCTCACCCCGTCACGGTTTTAGAAAAGGTCACTCGTGTATGATCAACCTACTGACTGCAGTGGACAGATGGACAGCCATCCTTGATCTCAAGGAGAAGGTAGATGTCACAAATGTTGACTCCTCAAAAGCTTTAATAGAGTCAGCCTTATTTATATTACCAATAAGCTCGAATGAATAGGTATCAGATTACCTTTAATTGATTGGCTCACTTGATAATTAAATGATCGACATTTTGAGGTTAAAGTTAACTTCACTTTCTCTCGGGTTATGATATGTAGTAGTGGGGTCCCCCAGGGTTCATTACTGGAACCTCTTCTTTTCTTGACGATAACGAACCTACCTTTAACAACTCAAAGTGTAAAGTAGTCCACCTGAGACATTTTGCAGATTACAAACACAACCTTTAGAGGCACTCCAAGTTGAAGATATGGGAGTGTTGTTATCCTATGATCTGAAGTTTTACAATGACTTCGAGAAAAATGCTTTCAAGAAAACCATGCACTTATAAAATTGGCGAATATTTTCGGACATTTCGACGGAAAAACTTTCCAATTAATCTCCAAAAGTCTTATTCGACCCTTTATAGAGCATGGAAACAATAGTTTCTCCTCACTCCAAAAGGATAAGAATACTCTAAAACATGTACAACGACGACAGACGAAATCACTTCACAAACTCAAATTCAAGTCTTGTGAAGAGCGCCCACAATCACGGAACTGTTATCCATTGGAGTGCCTTTCTAATGACCTGTAGCATCCTAAACACTTTTAGGCATCCCTTTAACACCTAACTAAGCTTTGTCGCAACACAACATCTAGGGGTAGCGGCCAGAAACTGCAGACACAACACAGCAGAATGGACCGTAAGCACACATTCTACTCCTCAGGAGTAGTTGAATTCCGGGACCCACTGCTGACTGAGCTAGTCCAAGAGATATACCAGGAGTTTTTGGAGAGAAAACTTGACATGATCATTATGTCGATGGACAGTATTTCGCTATAATTTGCCAGTTTTTCGTCTCTTTTATCAGCAATACACCTAACTTGTTATCTGAGGACATTTGTGGTCCACTTCTACCAAATATGGAAGCCCTTTAAGAGAAAGCTCTATCATCTTGTCCAGAGCCACTTGTCCATTGGACACCAGCGAGTGTCACAAAAGGTGCGGTACGTCTCGCACAAATATAATACGTCTGATTGTTCTGTATCAAACAGCGTTTGCTTTGAAGTGCTATTATAGGGATTTGATAACTCATCAGTTATTTTGTTTTCAGGAGTACAGGTACTCAGTAATCATTCATTGTTATTCCTCAAACCGGCACCGCGGTTCAAACGCGTGCAAACAAAAATTAAAAAAGAAGCTAAACTTTGACGAAATATTGGGATATTTCCTAAGAAAGTTTTGGTGTGAGTATAGTAGACGGTCCACCGAATTTTCGCCACCCTTCAAAAGATGCTGAGGAATTTTTCTTTTAAGAAAGGATTTGTTGGATTTAACATATCAACTATCGCTTATATAGATCCAAGGATTCTGATCTTTCTTTTCATTGACACCAAACATTCTGGTCCCTAAATGACCTCAATCTGACTAGTCTTCTCACGAGTTTACATCAGGTTGTTTACCATGCACTATCGTACCTTAGCTTCAATACACGTCAAAATGGTACCTATCTTAATATAGCAAAATATAGTGTTCATAAACTGTTGCTCAAACAATTCTATAATATGATTGTAAAGTCTGGTATCTTTGGGTTGAGGTTAATCAGATAATCTGCTCAGTCGTCTTTTTTTTCCCAACAGTTTTATACATTCAGCAATAAAAAAGCCAGACGGTTTTTGAAAATGGTGGATATTATACTTCAGTAGGGGCTACTATTCGAAACACCAGTTTCAGTGGATTAAGCATGTTTTACAAAACGGCTTTCATACTTATCACAGTTTGTTAACACTAAGACTAGGTGGACAACACAAAGATATGACATGTATTCGCAAAATCATTTCTTTATTGAGGTCTTGAATCGATCAATGATCTCAATAAAAACTAAAAGTCTCCACAACCCCTATACTAATAATTTTAATGTGCTCACCATCGACTAGCTTTGAGAGGTAATTCTCGGAGTTCTAGTGAGAAGCCATGACCAGTAGAGTTCAGGTGTGAGGCAGTCATCCATCGAAGACAATGGAATATGGTCGCGCAGTATCGTAAATTGGTTGAAGTGAGACATTAACACGACTGGATGACGGCTCAGTTGTCTAGAGGTTAAGCGTTTCTGTGCGGGACCATAGGTGCTCACCGTTTAGGAGTCACACTAGGGTGAAGCGGCCGTTCAGTGCTCCCAGGTTTTCAACAATGGTCTGACATTGATGGACTCATGATCTCAATAAAAATTCAATAACCTCCAAAACCCAATACTGAGGATGTGTCATTATCAACTCTAGGTTCACTACAACTTTACAGATGTGATGCCTTATCAAGTATGATTCAAACTACAAAATAATGGCCTAGGACGTGCTAGTAGGTTTTGACCACCATAAGATAACTTCGACTAGTGGTCAGAAATGGGTTCGACTTAAAATTGGTCGCAGTAACTTGGATGCAACGAATCGTTGTCTACGGTGGTTATGACTGACTAATTAGTTCCATAGTAAAATATATGATTGACTTCTGTTCTGATTTCTGGTCATTTTAGATTTCTGCTCAAGTTATTGTGCCTGTCACATGTGTTCGATCGATGGACCATATAAGCATATCCGCAAAACGAAACCTTCAATCGCTATTCCCTATATTCATCCCAATCGTGAGCACTTAGATGAAAGGGCAATTTATGGCTTCATTATATATCTTGTATGTTTTCCTGCATTTGGTGAGTCATCGCTTTCAATTTCCAACAAATGAACCGTGCATTTCATTGCTTGTTACTACTTTTTTTGGTACTACTATGTACCATACGCGTAGATTCATATTCTAAAAGAATATTTCGTGTCACCATCGATTTGACCATTATAAACGTGCACGAACTTGATTCAAATAAATGTCAATCTATTTTCTAATAATTGTTTAAGGTTCGACCACCAGTTTCTTCATATTATGGTATCAGTTTGTTGCCCCCAAATGCCCTGGTACGGCTGAGAGTGGGGAGAGTCCGCTCACCCTCTCGGATTGCTCTCACAAGGCCACGTGCATACCACCACTTTCAGGGAATTCCTACTTACTGCCTCCTCGCTGCATTACTGGTGCTTACGAAATCGACAACACGAAAAGCGAATGTCCGGCGCTTTAACCGGGTTGGTGACATGGAGAGTCCATCTAGGGGAGTTGGAAAACCTTGATTCCAAACCAATGGTCACATGGACTCTAGTATTCTGAAGGAACAAATGGCGTATGAACCAATCGTTGGTCACCGTCTACGATGTTCCACTGCCTCGTGGATCAGACCATTGTGTTGAAGGCTCCGGGTGTGGCAACCTAAGAAAACCACCTGATTCGGTTTGGGCACTCGGGCAGTATCACGGGCCTTACACATATCAAATGAGATTTGTGTGGCTCATATGTATTTGGTGCCTCCTTATACGAATATCTATGTTTTCAAATAATAATAATAATCAGTTCTTAATGGTTTGCTTCACTACTATCACTATGATAAAATTAGATTTCGTTTGCAACCAGTCACTGAATGTGACAAATTCATGGCCTCTTCAGCCTTACATAAAATAAAGTAACAAAATCTAGACCTAGTTGTATTAATTAACCTACGTCAGTCAGTCTTAGATAACGTAAGATCTAGACTAGATTTATATCTGTCCAAGTAGTTATGCTACGTTTCAACACCGAAAACAAAGTCAAAGTTTAGCTTTTTCCTAAATCTATCCTATGGTGGAGAGTGATGAGCGTCTGCATAGGTGTTTTGCATGCTTATATATGTTCTATGTACCTAAATTGACTTAATTTTAAAACAGTTAGTTTCTTGTTTTTCTTTATGCCTAAAACCCTTTGTTTAATATCAGCATTACTCATTAGATGGTTTCACCATACAAAAGCTATGCTAACCAAATTATCACAACATATGGATGTATTATACTTTCACGGGTCATGATTTACAATTGATTCCGTAGAACAAATGGTCTGTGTTCTTCATTTTTGTGTATAATCAAATCATATAGTAAGCTGCGTTGACGTCAGGTATATTGTGTAGGTTGGCTAATGAGATCATGAATCCCCATCAGCTGCGACGGTTTGTGTTATGAGTATTAAGATACCTCATTGTTGTGATCGCTGAAGTACAAGTATTTTGGATGCTGCCAATCATTGTTCAGGTTAAAACACGACATCACTTTGTAGAGTTATTGAATTTAAATCTAAGCTTTTTAGCCCAGAAGTAGGCTTTCGGACTTGAGTACACGTGATTGGTAATATTGAATGATATGTATCTAAGCCGATCTCAGGCATAAAAATAAATTTTTTTATATCACTCCAATAATCCATCTTTTTATTCTGTGCCTAAAATTCCTTTATGTTTTCTTCCTAATTTCTAATTTTTTAATACTGCCGTTAGTTTTACATCTATGCTACTATCCTATAATTTTACTAGCTATCGTTAATTTAACCAGTGTACTATTATTCGGACATTTGGACTGCTTGATTCTGTAGCTTAGCATACTGATCTCAGTCGCTATAAATTTACTAACTCGTGTTTCTGAGGTTTGGTCTCAGATGACGTAACCTATGTATTTATTTTGCTTAGATTGTAGTACCTGTTATTGCTTTTAAACGTGGCGTCATAATCTCTGTTAATTGTTAGTTTATATCCATGACCCAGAAAATCATAATTTTTGTTTTGTGCTGTTTTATACGATTTCAGTATTGTATGTAATTTGGGCATATATTCCACATGAATGGTTGAATTTAATTGGAATAACATACCTACCCAACAAGTAAGCTTTAAAAAAGATTGTTCTTTGATCTATTAACTGAATTGCACACTAAGCGCCAGTACTTAGGGGACAATAATCAATTGAATCCCCATGAACATTCTTTTTATTGCTGTTAGGTTGGAAGGTTCTTCCAAGGCGAAAAATGTGACTCTGTAAATATTGTCTTTTCCTAATCTTCGCGTATGCTGCAAGTTTCAAACCTAGATCCAATTATGGATGAATTCTACCACCAATTAAAAGACATCGGATAAGCGTGTTCGACATGTAGTTGTAGAATAAGCTTTGAATATGCAGGTCAGGTGTCTACGCATAGAGGAAATTCGTTTAGGTGGTCAGTGGAGACGTAGGTCAAATAACAATAACTGCATCTTCCAGCTTTGCGTAGACCATATCCTTTTTCAAACCAGTACCAACTTTCGCAGGTCACCACTAATGTTCTACCTGACATCCTTCCTCTTTAAATCAAGCCTTGGTTGGAATTGGTCACATTGCGATCAGTTACCAATGACATGCCCGACCGAAGCTGCTACCTTGACGCGGTGATCGGGCTTGCCTATCGTGATGACCCAACCGAGCTATATTGGCTTGAACATATGTTCCTGTAGGTTCTACCATGCCAGGCAGGTCGATTGGTGAACGGTAAGACTAAAAACAGCAACTCAAGGTCTGAGGGCGAAGTCGTACTGCTGACTGTAGAGAGGTGTGACAGCAGTAAGGTGTTTCCCTCGGATAACCAGCATGATAGCGATGCTGCCTTCCCGCAAGGAGGGGTGGGGTTAGAAAAGGTTGACCCTGAAAATGTCACACCTCACTTTACCTCACGGATTTCCGTCTCCGGCGGTAAGGCCCTTTGAAGAACGGAGCTAACACGTTAAAAACCTTCCACAAAAAGGCCGTGCGCGACCGGCCTCAAGCAGTTGTCCCTTGGGCTCTGCGGTCACGCTCCCAGGTCGTCAAGACCAACACTAATCCAATTTCCTTTTCAGGTTGTTCAAGAAATACGCTTCCACGGTGTGGGCAGCCGGGAAGCGACATCAGCCCTCATACCCATAACAGCACACGAGACCAAGTTGGTCACATTCAAATCCTTCCTACACCTCCTAATACCTCTCTTATCTCCATGACTAACCCTCCTCACGTCTCTTTATCACCTCGCACCGCTAGGGCAAACGATTCGAGTACGTGGAACGCTATTCCTGGTCTCCTGAAACCACGCTCTAAACTACACGTAGGAACTTCTAACGTCCGAACACTGTGCCAAATAGGACAACAGGCTTCCTTAGCTAGGACTTTAGAATCTCGCGCCATCGATGTGTGCTGCGTCTCCGAAACGCGCATACAGGATCCGAGTAGCGTCATTCATCTGACCTCACCATGCCAAAATAAAGAACCGACTCGATTTACGCTTCGTGTATCTGGAAGCCCTGATTCTGCTTCCCATGGCCTCGCCGGCGTAGGTATAGCATTGATTCCTAGGGCAGAAATAGCTCTCTTAGACTGGATCCCAGTAGCCAGTCGTTTGTGCGCTGTCCGACTAAACGGAACAGTAAGAATCCGAAAAGATAGGGACACTCGTCGTTGCATTCTTGTCGTTTCTGCCTATTCTCCCACTGACTGCAGCTCGAATGATGTAAAAGATGAGTTTTACAGAAAGCTTTCGGACCTTCTCCGAAAAGCTAGGCGCTCGGATGTAGTAATAGTGGCCGGTGACTTTAATGCTCAAGTAGGCAAACTAAGCGATAGGGAAAGACATCTAGGTGGATCTTATGGTGTCGTGGCTCAAAGAACAGATAATGGCGACTGTCTGTTGCAGCTATGCTCAGATAACCGCCTGTTCCTTGCAAATACTAACTTTAAGCATAAGGAAAAACATCTTTTGACATGGAGACCTCCTAATTCGTCCCAACGTTGGACCCAAATAGATCACGTCGCTATCAGCCACCGATGGAGGGGCTCGATAGAAGACTGTCGCTCATTCTGGAGCACATGATTAGATTCAGATCATGCTCTAGTGCGAGCGCGTATTTGCCTGCGCCTTACTGGACGTAGGAAAGACACTGCAAGGAAACCTCTTAGGGCCCTACTTAATGATAGTCAAGCTAAGAGTATATTTCAGGAACAACTAGGAAAACAGTTAGGCAGCCATGTATGTGATGTCCACCCCGATGCAGCATGGAATGATATCTGAAAAGCTGTGGAAACAGCAGTGATATCTGCTAGTAAGGTAAACCACAAGGTTAGGGAGCAACACTGGATCTCAGCAGCATCTATCGCACTGATAGATGCTCGGAAACTCATTTCACCTGGCTCTGAACATAATGAAGAGCGGAGTCAGCTTAAGCACAAGCTGAAAAGAAGCCTACGCAATGATCGCAAACAGTGGTGGGTAGCGAAAGCAAGAGAGATGGAAAAGGCAGCGGCAATAGGTAGTAGCAGATAATTGTTCAGACTCGTTAAGGAAACCGGAATTAGGAGCCCGACCGTTAACGAAACACTCTCAGAGAAAGATGGACATATTATTCATTCTCAATCCAGGAGATTGGATCGATGGGCAGAACACTTTAGGGATCAGTTCAACTGGCCTTCAGCCACACTTCGGTTTCCCACGATCTCTAGTCAACCTGAATGGCAAGTTAATGTAGGTTCTCCGTCCCTTTACGAAGTTGAAAAAGCCATAGGAAATCTGAAACGAGGAAGAGCAGCAGGCCCTGACAGGTTTACTCCTGAGATTTTTAAGGATGGTGGTTCAGTATTAGCAGCGAGATTAACTGAGGTCTTAGGTAGAATTTGGGAACTGGACGTAATCCCATCTGACTGGTCTCAATCACTGATTGTGCCAGTTTTTAGGAAAGGACAAAAGTCCTCTTGTGACAATCACAGAGGAACCAGTTTGACTAATATAGTGTCTAAAATATTAGCCTCAACAAATCTTCGATGCCTTATCAAAGCTCGTGAAGAGCAAATTAGAGAAAACCAGGCCGGTTTTCGACCTGGACGTGGTTGTATAGATCAGATATTCACACTACGTCAGGTTCTAGAACACAGACGCACATTCAGACACCCCACAATGGTAGTATTTCTCGACCTTAAGACGGCATTCGACTCTGTCGATCGTGAGGTTCTATGGCAGTGTTCGTCACTGAAAGGAGTACCAAAGACGTACATTAACCTTATAAAGGCTCTCTACTTGAACATAACTGGTAGAGTGAGAGCTTATGGCGAACTGTCATAAGAATTGATTACCTCAAGTGGTGTTCGCCAGGGCTGTCCACTCTCCCCATTCTTGTTCAACTTTGTGGTCGACGTACTTTTAGAGATAACACTCTCGTCATCTACATTTCCAGGGGTTGAACTTCTACCGGGAGGTTCACTTGTTGACTTAGAATATGCTGATGACATCGTTTTATTTGGTGAAGACGCTGACAAAATGCAGAGTCTTCTGACCACTCTAATCAACAATGCAAGCATGTTCGGGATGCGATTCTCTCCCTCGAAATGCAAAATGTTGCTTCAGGATTGGGTTACATCGACACCCGAACTAGTGATAGGGAGTGAAGTAGTTGAGTGTGTCGACCTCTTCACTTATCTTGGAAGTCTCATCAGCCCTTGTGGTCTGGTGTGTGACGAAATCTCAGCACGGATACAGAAGGCTCGACTAGCTTTTGCCAACTTGCGTCATTTATGGCGTAGGCGAGATATCCGTCTATCAACCAAAGGACGTGTTTACTGCGCAGCAGTTCGTTCCGTCCTACTTTATGGCAGTGAAACATGGCCGGTAAGAGTAGAGGATATCCGTAGGTTACTAGTATTTGATCATAGGTGTCTTCGAAATATTGCTCGTATATCCTGGGACCATCGAGTAAGTAACACAGTTGTTAGGAAACGGGTACTAGGTAAGGATGGCAAATCAATTGAAGTAGTGAAACTTCATCAGTTGAGATGGCTGAGACACGTGTTACGTATGCCCAACGACCGACTACCTCGACGTGCTATGTTCAGTGGTATAGGAGTAGATTGGAAGAAAGCTAGAGGCGGCCAAACCAAAACATGGCACAAGTCCATGAAGTCACTAACAAGTGGACTGAGTCATATTGGTAGGTGTAGACTACCTGGTTGGGGACCGCGAGATGATAGCAACCGATGGTTAGAGACCCTGAATGACATGACTCAAAATCGTTTGTAATGGCGCAGGTGCATCCACACTTTATGTACTCCCAAATTCTAATACTCTGAATTCATCATGTCCCTTCTTTTTTTCCTCTTTCCAAATTTGTTTCACTGGATTATACTCTTTAAATAACATCTCCAAACCCTAATCTTCCCGATTACTGCTTATACTCTTGCTACCTCTACCACTACGGGATTTGAACCAACCATTGCATCTCTGTGCTAAGGTGGTGTGGCAACTCGAACTGATGTACGTACGTACGAAGTTCTACGTTGTTACTGACTGACTGACTTCCCCTTGTTATAAGCTTCATTTTGACCTGTAATTTATTATTGTACGATTTACTGTTCTTAAACTATGCACAGTTTATTGACTACTGCATCCCGCGTTCATAGCCAGTTTCTGGCTTTATTGTGTATGAATATTATTTCCTATTTTATAGTGCGTTACGGTCTGTTTGTTTGACATATAAACCCAGTATGTCTGAAATAAATGATTTTATTCGATTCGCATTGTGGAAGCCAGTATCGGTGTTCTGGACTCAAGGCTACTCATACCGGTCGAACGTCATTGGTTTAGCACAGTGTAAAGATTGTATAAGTCGTATTTTGACTGGTGGATAAATAACGTGATAACTGGCCGGACATAAAGTCACAACACTTATTGTCCTTAACGAATTGCAACAAGCAATTTACCTTCAGATTTTGCTATAATCAAAAATTGAACCGAATTAGGTTCACTGCTGACTACCAACTCACCGGCAAGTGTGCATGAGCACTGGTCGCTTTGTATGATGCTATAAAAATACTGGGCTCTTTATAAGGATAGTGCCGGACTGGCTAAATTGTTTGGAAAGGTTTTGGAAATTGGTCGTGAAACGAAACGATCGTCATCCTCATCTTTGTTGTGATGGATTCTGTGGATTTCTGCCTATCCAAATTTTAAATAATAACCCACATTGTTCATCTAATTGAAATTGAAATGCTCTGTCTTAGTATAAAGACCTATTACCTTCAACACGTTTGATATTCGATCGCTAAATCATCTACCACAGTAATTAGATCAATGTTTAACTCCAACCAAACAAAATTTCAGCCAAAATCTATACAATGCGGACACTAAATATCATTTAATATAGATATGCAATAAATCGTAGAATATTTTGTGGCCCTTAAGCTAGACAAAACGAGATACATCTCTATATTCTAGTTTTATAGACATCCAAACATATAACTTTAACAACTTAGTGATGCTATCTTATTTTGTACTGGTAGGTGGTAACTTTTATTCAAATCCCTGTAGGTGCATCAGTTTGTACAAAATTATCAATTCACTTACTTAATGGCTATTAATGACTATGCAAACCCGTGTCAGAATCCTTCTGCCAGTTTTTCATCGGGTATCTAAAATTAAATCAAATGTACTTTAATGTTGATCAAGTTTGTCAAATAGATTTATTGAATATTTACTTGATATATTTTGTGAAGATCTTAAGAGTTAGAACGGAAGGATTGGCGAAACAGGAAGCGATGGTTGATCCTCGAGTTGCCAACGAAGGTCTTTTACGTAGAACGGTACTAGGAGAAGCATGCTGTATTTGTTGCTCGAGTTAGTATACCACACCAGAGTGGTTTATATCCAAGGCCTGAAGATTGCGTTCGTAGGGGTTCGGACCAGAAACGCTGCAGACGTAGGACGAAACTGCGTTGAGCCAAGGAGCCAGAAGCGACCATAACAACCAAGTGCAAAACCAAATATAGGCCAGGCAGATTCGAAACCTGAACATCGACTGAGTGCGTTGACAAGAGCGTGGGTGGCCAGACCAGCTTTCGCCAAGGTTGACTGAAGTCGACGGGTGATGGTCGGAGGCGTGGGCTCAGGATACAAAAAAATCAAAAGAAAAGGGAAAAAGTGTAGCATGCATGTAGTATAGGCATAGTCGGACACCGTATCCGCTGTTGATTGCACGGTTAGTCGCGAAGGCGTACGGGTAAGCGTACTCGGCGACTAGAACGCGAGACGGTAGTCTCGTTCGTACTTCGTGAGCCTGCAATCTCATCCCAAGTCAAGGGCGGCGTGGTCTGCCAATCTGAACGTGAGACTGAAGTCTCGTCCGTAGATGGTGCAGAATACACGTGCCGTTGACCGGGACGTGAGGATGAGGTCTCTGATGTATCTAGCGTGGGACCTGAAGTAGATGTAAGGATCCCTCTAGTAGATTTGATAGGTCTAGCATTGGGTGTTAAGTTATCGAGTAGGGCACTGATATCGACGTGTGCTGTTTTGGGACGATCAATGCTGACGATCTCGACGCGGCCATGTCGATCAACCTTGAAGGTCTTTCCGTGACGAGAAATCACGTGAGAAGGTCCTTCGTAAGGCTGTTGCACGGGTTTGCGTATCGAATCTACTCGTATGAAAACATGTGAACAGGTAGATAACTCTCGAGGGAGAGCAACCTGTCGATGCTGTATATGAGTTGACATCGGGGGCAGTGTTCGCATAAATTCAGACAGTCGATGGACGTAGTCTGATTTACCGAAATCGTTACTGCCCCGTGATGTGGAAAATTCCCCAGGCAGACGCAATGTCCTTCCGTACACAAGTTCAGCGGCGAAACATTGGATATCTGCCTTCAAGCTCGTTCAGATACCTAAGAGGACAAGCGGTAAGGTTTCGTACCAATTGTCGTTTTCGTGTGCTCGAAGAGCACTTTTAAGTTGGCGATGAGACCGTTCAACTAATCCATTTGATGCAGGGTGGTAGGTGGTAGTGCGTTTGCGTTCCGTGCCAAGCAGTCGGGTCAGTGAGGAGGATAATGCGGATTCGAATTGTTTTCCTTGGTAGGTCGTGACAGTCGAGGGACAACCGTACAGTGCTATCCATCGTTCTACGAAGCGGCGAGCAACTGTCTCCGCCGTAATAGACGTGATGGGAATAGCTTTGGGCCATCTTGTAAAACGATCGATGCACGTGAGTATGTGATCATACCCATGCGATGGTGTTAGTGGTTCTATAATGTCTATGTGAGCGTGATCGAAGAGAGCATCAGGCGTAGCGAAAGTGCCGAGGGGGGCGGCTACGTGCCTGTGCACTTTTGATCGTTGACATTGTAAGCATTGCTTCGTCCACATACGGACATCTTTATTCATGGACGGCCAGACGTATCATGCAGCGATGAGACGTAATGTAGCTACGATACCTGGATGAGACAATCCATGCAGGACATCGAAGACGAGACGACGGTAAGCAGAGGGTACGATGGGTCGGGGAAGACTGGTAGAAGTATCACATAGGATAGTACCTGAGCTAGTAGCTAGGGCTACTTCCTGGCAACGAAGGGATGTAGATTGTGGTGCTTCTGTACAAAAAGGATCGTTTGCTTGAGCGGCAGCCATAGAAGGAAGATCGAGCACCGGTGAAGTAACTGCATTCACTTGGATACGTGACAGAGCGTAGGGAATTTTCCACATCACGGGGCAGTAACGATTTCGGTAAATCAGACTACGTCCATCGACTGTCTGAATTTACGCGAACACTGCCGCCGGTGTCAACTCGTATACAACATCAACAGGTTGCTCTCCCTCGAGAGTTATCTACCTGTTCACATGTTTTCATACGAGTAGATTCGATACGCAAACCCGTGCAACAGCCTTACGAAGAACCTTCTCACGTGGGCTCATGTAGTGACCTACTTTTATCAAGAAAACGCGATTGGTTTATTGGAAACAATTATTACTATAACTAATTGTACCAGTAATTGTTTTTACTCTGCTTGTTTGTTTAACTGTACTAAAGACATCCATTACTCCCCCATCATTCTTCCGTTGACTGTGACCTTGTACGCTCGCACATTCGCCCATTGATTCCACTGGTATTTCCCTCGGCACGATCTTGGTATACTTTCGATACCACGAGATCGTCAACGAATAAATCTGGTTACAATCTTTCGCCTTTTGATTTTCTGGTACGCGCTCATCTTGTAGTGGTGATCATAGTCAACCTCGACTGTACTGTACTGTGTTCGAATACATTAATGCAAACAGATTTATTCATCAATTGAGTCTCACCTAAGCAGTTATGTTAGTAATATTTTATTCATATAATTACATTCTGAATTTGTTAAATAACTTTGCTGAAATATAGTATTTAAAAAATTTTAGACACTGGTCAGTTACTGCACCAATCTCACTACTGATTATATGTATATCTGGTCTTTTTGCTTATATTTGGAATAATCGTTCACTCATGCAACCGCTTACATCGATTTATCAAATTAGAGGTATGTAGATTTCGAAATGAAAATGCTTTTCAAAACATTTTTTATTGATCAATAAATTCATGCACAACTTGTGTACCAAATTCTTCCTAGGTATTTGTTGGTGTTAATAAGTGGGAATTTTGTTCCACACCTCGTATCTTGAAAGCTTACGCAGTGAAATCATGATATGCTATTCTGATATCCGTTATCATTTGCTTAATCAATAATCTAATGCGCGTCAAAAGCCATGACAAGAGAATGTAACATAATGAAATAAAAATAAGTAGGCTCTCAACTCAACGATCTTTCTTACAATGATCTAGTGCTAAATTTTTATCCCTAGTCAGTCGATTGATATAAACATATGATATTCAATGTAGAGTTTTGAATTTGTGACTCATTACAACTTATTTCATGTTTTGCTACATGTGACATGGAGGACTTTATCAAAAGTACGTCGGATTATATTTATGTATGACTTCAAAATCTCAGCGATAAATGAATTTACATTACATTTTCTTCATGATAACTCTTTAATTCGTTTATGTTTTAACTTCAGCTCTCCCTCGTTTGCTATATTCAATCATTTCTACAGTCTTCCATTGAAGCGAGTGATACTCCTTTGTCGCTGCAACCAAATATCCTATCTAATAATACTTTTATTTCAATGTTTTTGGATTGACAAATGTTGAAAATAGAATTTTATAAGAAATCACAGACTGATGCTTGACAATATATTTCCGATTCAATAATAAAATCGACGAAAGAAACATGAATGGAATCATCAACATCTGGATTCATGCCCCAAAATGCCCTGGTACGGCCGAGAGTGGGGAGAGTCCAAGCCAATGGTGCGCATGGGCTCCAGTATCCTAAAGGAACAAATGGCGTACGAACCAATCGTTGGTCATCGTCTACCATGGGGCTGCATCTGCTGACGTTGCTCCACTGCCTTGTGGATTAGACCTTCAGGTCGAAGGCTCCGGGTGTGGCAACCTAAGAAAACCACCTGATTCGGTTTGGGCACTCGGGCAGTATCACAGCCCTCACATAATTCAAATGAGATTTGTGTGGCTCATAGATATTTGGTGCCTCCTTGTACCAATATCTATGTGTTCTAATAATAATAATAATAATAATAATAATAATAATAATAATAATAATAATAATAATGATAATAATAATAATAATAATAATCTGGATTGATTAAAGGGACAGTTAAATCAACACAATATATCATCCATTGAGAAAAATCATGGTTAGTAATAGGGTCAGAAGTTATGTAAATGGTGATGATAACCAAAATAAATATGCAAACGATGACCGAGTGAGGGTTAATAACAACCAGTCAAGATCAAAGTCGACAGAACAGCGTGTTAGTCATGTGAGGAAAAAAATCAGATAGCTCACAGTCAGGTTCATGTTAATGGTGTTGTCCAGAAGGACGAAGAAAGCTGTGCGACCAAAGAGAACTCTACGAAAATCTTCCACTTGAACTCTAAATCCTTACCTCAAGATTTATTATATTTTAACAATCCTGTTATTGTTTCAGATTCACTTTCAATGCATGCTCAAAATCCAACTGATGGTTATGTCACAGATCAACAGTCTAATTCAAACGTATCAAAACCAATGGAATTATTGAGACCATTATCGATAGTCCCCCCTGTGTATGATTTGGATCATATTTGGGTGACAAGCGAGTTGTATTTAAAGACAAATAAAGTTACCACCTCAAGCATTATTGACCATGATAATATGAAGCGTTAACAAAACAGAAAGGATAAGATTTTGTTTTTGTAAATTATTAGGTGTTGATTGCTGTAAATATTTTGAATCTTCATTATTGACGTTCCCTGTAAATCATATCCGTATAAAGTTTTCCGACAATGTAAATATACCTTCTTATTTAAGACTAAGGACGTCACGTTCTTTTTGATTGTGTTTTTCAGCTGATGTTCAGTCTTTTAACAGTTAAACTTCAACAAATTAATTGTCATCACTGATTTTCATGCTAAACAACTTATTTAGGAAACTTATACGAATATTCGTCAATATTAGAACGGATATTTTGGCAAAAATTGGGCGCCCAGTATAGAGAAGTCATTATATATGGAAATTATATTTGAAATAATCTCAGCGATTGAAATTTAAATAATTTCGACGTTTCGTCCAGCTAACTTGTCTGGACTTCTTCAGGGTAGAATAATCAAAATCATCAAACAAATATATAGCTTTTTAACAATCAAAACTATACTGTGTTAAACCGTATTTGGATGTTGATTTTTGTAAAATAGGATAACATGAGTCAGTTTACATGGTAATCATGTGGAAAATTCAACATGGAAATAATTAACTGAATAACAAATTGCATGTGTGTGAGTGTGTAGGTATGTCTATATGTGTGAGATTAATTATTGATATTTGGTGTTAATATGTTATGTATAAAGGAATAAATAAAAGTGCATGTTCAAGGTTGAACAATGGTTTCTCCATCATCTATGTGCTTGTCAAATTTAAGAATCAACAAATACGTAATTGTATTGCTAAAAACTCATTGAATTCAGTCCAAGTAACGATGCATGTGAAATAAACAAGTTGAATAAAGAGAGGGTTCAAATTACTTGTCAACCAAAATTTGCCAGGAAGTTGCTAGTTGAATACCATCCTTTCGGTTCAAGCTGTTCTTGTTCATTCATATATACAGCGCTTCCGCTGTCGATCTTTCTTTATGATTGTTAAAACCTTTCTGAAGTATTTTGGTCCCTTCAAAATTAATCTTGTGTCCTGTTTCTAACGCATGTAACTCTATCGCAGACTTATTCTCAAGTTTCTTCAAAGCAATCGAGGATTTAGGAACATTTTCCAAACATTGTTTGTGTTCCTTCAACCTTACATTAAATTGTCTGGATGGTTCTCCCACATAAGCTGCATTACAATCATGACAGTTGATTTTATGCACAATATTTTGTTGTTCTTCCTTTGGTAACCTGTCCTTAACTTTCACTAATGTCGATCTTAAGGTGTTACTCGCCTTAAAATACACTTTTTTATCATGTTTGTTTAGAATCCGCTTGGTTTCTTCCGATGTTTCACTACGGTATGGGATGACTAAGGTGTACTTCCAAAATTTTCGTATACATTCTAGTTTAATTTTTCTCTCATTTTTAACAATCTTCTTTAAAAACTCTTGGGTAGTTTTTATCCGTAAGAGTAGAAAATGCTTTGTTCGATTCAGTTCGTTGGTCTTCCTTATATGTAACAAGCTTAGTACTTCTGTTCATTAAATTTTTTACAACATTAACTTTCGTGCACTGCACATGAGCCGAATCATAATCTAAGCAATGAGTAGGACTTCCCTGGCAGTGACTTTATACGCATGTTCATTTGAGAGCATTTCAAGAGAGAGCTGACTCCCTACTCTCGGCTGTACCAGAACATTTACAGTCACTTTGACTAGTATAACCTTCACTATAACTTTAGGTCTCGTTGAACTATTGAAGTAAGATAAAAGTCGCACATACATACACATGTCACAATTTAAATATGTTGATTGACTTACAGAATCTCTGTCATTCAGCAACAATGTAGGACCAGGCATATATGCATCGGTCCAAGTTGCCACACTTCATTAGCATAGCAAGATGAACACTGGATCCATAGAAATAGTTAATCCAGTGGTGGCAATATGTAAAAGAAAGATTGCATATAGATACAGTACAGGAAGAGAGTATTAGTTCGTAGAAAGAAAGATGTGAATCGATTTTAATCTCATAGTTTAAGGCAAAATAGAGAGTATATACATCTACACAATTGTTGTTGCTACCTTGACGTTGTGGTCGGGCTTGCCTATCGTGATGAACCAGTCGAGCTACGCTGGCTGGAAAAATTGTTATTCAAGGTTCTACCATGCCAGATAGGTCGGTTGAAGAACGGTTAAACTAAAAGCAGTAAATTCAAGGTCCGAAGGCGAAGCCGTACTTCTGACTGTACAGAGGTGTAACAGCAGTAAGGTGTTTCCTTCAGACAACCAGCAAAACAGTGATTCTACCTTCCGATAAGGAAGGGTGGGGTTAGAAAAGGTCAACCCTAAAAATGCGCACCTCGCCTTATCCTACGGATGTCCGTCTCCGGCGGTAAGGTCTCAACAAGTGCGGAGCTAACATAAAAATTACTCATAAAAAGGTCGTGTGTGACTGACCTCAAGCAGTTGTCCCTTGGGTACTGAGTTCACGTTCTCAGGTCACTAATGCCACCTCTAATCCAATTTCATTTTCAGGTACCTCCAGTAGAACCCTTGCACGGTATGGACGTATGGGATGTTATAGCCACCCTCATACCTATAACAAGCACTCAAGACCACTATGTTCATAATCAACCTCTTTCTTCAATTACTATTATTCCTTTTACACCGACTTTCAACTCTAAGCTTCCTCCTCAAGTGTCACCATAGCCAACGATTCTAGCGCGCAAAACACTGTCTCAGGTCTACTGAAACCTCACTCCAAACTACACATTGGAGCCTGCAACGTACGCACCCTATGTCAAATAGGCCAGCTGGCCTCCTTGGCTAAAACCCTAGAATCTCGTACTATTGATGTATGTTATTTCTCCAAAACACTCATACAAGATCCTAGTGTGGTCATTCACTTGACCTCACCTTGCCAAAATAGACAGCCGACGAAATACACGCTCTGTGAATCTGGCGACCCGATGGCTAGTTCTCGTGCACTGGCAGGTGTAGGCATAGCACTAAGTACGAGGGCGGAACGACCACTGACAGAATTTGACCAACTGTTTATTTTTGAGTTATCTTCGACGTGTTCATCTTTGAATTATCTCGACTTCTATCAGGAAAGTCTAATCTTGATTCTAGTTACATTGACGGTACTATCATATTTCAATTCTTTAGGTTTCTAAAAAAACTGATTCTTATGTGACATATATTCTCTTAAGAACCTACTTAGAGGACAACACTTCTGTTTGACTGCTACCAAGCTGATATGATGGGCAAGTATTTGGTTTAACAGTCAGTTCTTGATTGAAGTGTAAGTGATCTATGAACTAATATCATGCAGTCGCCTATGACATCTTATCGCGTTATTTCCTTGTGTCAGCATTTTGTTTATAGACGCATCATTTTATTTCATGAAAATATTCTTTTGGCTAGTGGTCTTATCTTTTATTTCAAAACACTCAAGCCCCTTCGTCAATAACCCAGTCTGGCGAGCAGCCATCACTCGTCGACATCATAGCATTACATATCACCTGTCAATCGGCTTCATGTTCTTTCATTCCGATAGTAGAGAATTTGTTCATCTTATCAATTAAATCCTCCATAACTTAAATGTTCCCCATATTTATAATAGGTTCTGCTAATACTTACTATCAACAGAAGTCAGAAGTGTGGATGGGAGTTCCGCTACCCATTGCTACGTAGTATACTTTCATACCAACTAAACTTCAGTTTATATCTCCTAACACTTACTACAAAACACCATTTGATCAGCATAACAAGTGACAATAAATGTCAATAAAATAATTTTATTACAATACCTAAAGTTTCAGACTTATATGTTTGAAAAGAACCTGTGTTCACATTCATGCGTATTGATTCTAAAGATGTGATACTACAACGAACATAAGTAATTTCTAGTGACAAATTTTCGTTTAGGTACTCTTAATTAAGGTTATTAACTTACATTACTCAGAAGAAGGCAAAAATTGAATATCTAATTTATTTTTAATCACTTAAAATGATTATCAACATCCTTTATTAGTTCATTCAAAATGTTTAAAGAAAACCAAACAAAGTTATTAAGAGTAGTTGTTGAACTCATTCCCATGCTTTGTAGTTGTGATACTGACGTTCTGGCCAATATATTTCAAGGCCATCATCGTATCTTATGAGATCTGATAATACGTTAAAAAATTTAATTAAAAGTTTGTTGTTTACTCAGCATAAAACAATTTTAGTACCAATGAAAATTAGGTTCCGATCATAATGGTTATTAAATAACTTTCACTAAATTATGAAAATACAATCTACAGTAATTTTGATTAGCATGTTTCAATATTTTTAATTTTATGTGTGAACTATGGTACCGGATTTCCAAGGCCGGAATCAGTAACATTAAATAATTCGACTAGGGGGGATCTAATCAAATTATTCCCGATACGAATCATAATGGTAGATATAATGTGTTGTTTTTTCTGCTTGAGAAATCTAGATAAGTAAAAATGATATATTTGTAGTATCCAAATAAGTAAAAAAAATACAGTTTTCTGACGTTTCGTGACTCAGTGTAAGCCATTTTTTCAGGGAATAAATAACCAAATTAAATTAACCCAAGTTTAAATAGAACAAAGCAAGAATACCGGGTGCGTTCAACCAAAAGCAGGTCTAACTAAGTTTGTTGTTTTGTAATATTCTTTAGTTCTGTGTTGTTTTAAGACTCTGGAGTTCTGCTGTGTCATGGCGGTATGATAAAACTACAGTACTAATCCATGACGTTTCATTCGGTTTATTACTTAGCAGTAACACGTCTCGTTTTATTGCTCTTTTAGTAATCTTCATAGGAAAATTAAGTTGTAAGATGTTAATTGTGTGCTTTTGTTCTTTTTGTTTGTCCTCTTCAGATGTAATAATTTTGTTTGCTCTTCTAATTTTTAGAGAATAAAAAACTCATATTTTCTAGCAGAAACTAATATTTACCTTTACAGTTCTACTTATTATTGACTTTGAAGACTATGATGCTGAGTATCTTTATTTTCAATGAACAGGAAAAACACAATCTAGTTGAAACTTACATCCCAATAGTTGAAATAGCTTCCTATTGTCAAATGAAAAAATGTTTGTTAGTTAAGAAAATTCACTACATACATATAATTAACATTTTCAAATGGGTAAAAATTATTTTTGTTTTGGTGTTGATAAATACTTTTAATCATTCTGAATAAGCCACTGATATTGATCATTTGTAATAAGATTTACTATAATACAATTAATAAATACTAATAGAAAATTATTAGTGAAGTCGGGGATGAGGGCAGTTGCTTACTTGCAGTGTTGGTTTTTCTTTACGTGAATACATTATTGATTTATTTATTTTAACACAAGGAGGCACCAAATACATATGAGCCACACAAATCTCATTTGATATGTGTAAGGGCTGTGATACTGCCCGAGTGCCCAAACCGAATCAGGTGGTTTTCTTAGGTTGCCACACCCGGAGCCTTCGACCTGAAGGTCTAATCCACAAGGCAGTGGAACATCGTAAGGAGATGCAGTCCCATGGTGGACGATGACCAACGATTGGTCCATAAACCATTTGTTCCTTCAGAATACTAGAGTCCATGTGCACCATTGGTTTGGAATCAAGGTTTTCCAACTCCCCTAGATGGACTCTCCATGTCACCAACCCGTTTAAAGCGCCGGACATTCGCTTTTCGTGTTGTCGATTTCGTAAGCACCAGTAATGCCGCGAGAAGGCAGTGAGTATGACTTCTCTGGCAGTGGTTGTATGCACGTGGCCATGTGAGAGCGTTCCGAGAGGGTGAGCGAACTCTCCCCACTTTCGGCTGTACCAGGGCATCTGGGGGCACGTGAATACATCAAATGAACGGTACACATAAATAACCATACCACCTTTATAACTGAATTCTTTAGTAGTCTAGGATCCGTGTTGTTATTAGTCTTTACCAAGCAACAAAAATGATCTCATTTACGATTTGCTTTAGACAGTTCCTTTCTTTAAAACACAAAGATAACGTTTCTATAGATCTCAACTTTTATTCACTAGCTTACTAATTTAGTGAGACTCCTCGAAAAAAAATCACTTCTTAGATAACTCATCTATAACTATGAATCTAGAAAATGAAACAAATAACTTACTCAACCAAGTAGTATGGCGGACTGGTAAAAGTAATTACAAAATGTAATTTGAAATTGAAATTCTGTTCAGTTTACCAGATACTGAGAATTAATTGTAAGTAATACATGTCAAGTATTGTAAGTGTTTTCTTTTTGAAGTTCACTAGTGATACATCAACTATCTTAAGTAAAAAATAATTCCTGATCATGGCTATTAATTCATATCTAAGCTAAAATATTTACAGATCTTAATAGAATCAGATTATGTAATCGGTTATTGAAAACATACTGTTAATATTTCTTTTAGAAGATTTGCTATATTTTTTCTAAATAGTGGGGTTTAATGTGTAGAATGAATAACATTCACAAAGTTAGGAACGACGTTCAGTGCTAAATGGAGCGAGGAAAATAACATATAGGCCCTCTAATACTACGTACTAGTACCTCCATTTATATTGAGGTAATTATATACATTATTTGTGCTAGAAAGACGGTCGTAAGTTTCTAACTAGAAGGTACAAGGCTTGAATACTGTGGGTAAAGATTATACTTTTTAGAAAGCAGTACTTTTCACTTGTTGTTGATTGGCTCAATTTGTTTTGAGGCAAACTGGTAACTATGATAACGATAAACTTGGGTTTATTAAAAATGAACTTCACAATTCCGTATAGAGGCTATTCGCCATTGCAATCTTATACTACATAATTTTGGCATTATTCATATTTCTTATGTGCAACAGTTGACAAATGAGCTGTTTTAAATGTCTCCTATTTTTATCTCATTTATACGTCTGGTGACTGAGTTGACATTTAAGTCATATTCGAATTTATTATTAGTGGGACAATTTGAAAATAACTACACCTAATTGGAAAAACTTAGTATGATGTATTGATGATTGACGATAATAAAAATCATTATGTTTTCCAATTTAAGTATTTATTTCACAATATCATTTTTTGCAATCTTAAATATAGTGATTGTTATAAGCATTTCATTGACTATATAATACTACTCATGAATAAGTCTATGAATCCCTAAAACATCTTTGTCATTAATTTATAAAATTACACCAAGTTACAGTTTCCAAGATTCAAATATTTTAATCATATAACAATATAACCTTCGAGATTAGGTGATAATGATTATAAAAATTGTATTCGAGATAATCGCTTGTCTAAATACATTCAAATGTTGCTTTTGAATCGAGTAAAACTATGAAATGTGACGGACCAAATGAACTCTTTGAATAGGTAAACAATGTTTATATATCCAGTTCATTTTAAGAGACATAACAATGCACTTTCATGCAATTCACTATGACTACGTGTGTCTATACGAATAATTTCGTCAAATATACTGTTGTCAGTTTAGAGGTTGTGGAGATTGTTAAGTTTTCTTTTTTGGATTGAGATCATGAACCGATTGATGTTAGACCACCATTGAAAACCTGGGAGCACTGGACGGCCGTTTCTTCCTATCGTGGGACTCCTCAGCAGTGCGCATCCACGATCTCACCCGCGGGATTCGAAGATGGTCGCGCAACTTCGTGGATTGGTTGAGGTTAGACATTTACACCATTGGATGCCGGCTCAGTGATCCAGTAGGTTAAGTGTCCATGCGCGAGACTGAAGGCCCTGGGTTCGAATCCCGCGAAAAGGATCGTGGATGCGCACTGCTTAGGAGTCCCACAATATGAAGTGCCTCTAGGTTTTAAATGGTGGTCTAACATCAATCGGTTCATGATCTCAATAAAAAAAACATACTGTTACTTTGATAATAAACAAGAAAAAATTATGTCGATATCCAATTGGTTCCCTAAATTCTTAATTATAGTAATATGCTGGTATATACTTTTTATATTCCGGATTTTGTTGGCATTCCACATCAAATGAATTTAATTCTCTCTGTCCACAGAATTAACTGTTGAACATATTTGGACATGCATTCGGCATTAATTGTTTTAAGCCTGATGCATCGTTGTTAGTTAACATTTTCGTTATTCAACAGTTAACCCACTCATATAGAAGCTAAGTACCATTAATTATCTTAATTTATTACTAATTAAAGTCTGTTACTTCGGGAATTGATTTTTCCAAATAGATGAGCCGACTGAAACAACTTTATAAACCTACGATTAGAACCATCCAATAAAAATGAGGCATTATCCACAGAACTTAACCAATCAAATTGCAGCAAAAAACGATAGGTATTAGTGAAACAGTGACCACATAATTGGTCTGGGTCACATACTAAAAAAGCTAGTCGAATCAATCACATGAGTAGTTTTTGAAAAAAAATAAAAAGGGGTATTGTGGAGATTTTTTAGAAATTTTAATAATTGAAATCATGAGTCATTTGAAGCTAGACTTCGTGGATTGGTTGAAATTAGATATTAACACCGTTGGATGCCGGCCCAGTGGTCTAATGGTTAGGCGTTCGCGCGCGAGACTAATAGGTCCTGGGTTCAAACCTCGCGGGATGGGATCGTGGATGCACACTGCTGAGGAGTTCCGATAATAGGGTGAGACGGCGGTCCAGCTCTTGCAGGTTTTCCGTGGTAGTCTAGCTTCAATTGACTGATGATTTCAACTATTGAAAAATAAAAAGGGTTGAAATTTATGGATTTTATTCCCTACCATCCCGTCCCGTACGAAACTTGTCAACCCGTATTACCTATGTGCATACTAAACTTTTAAAATTTCATTCGCAAGGAAAATGCCAGTCTTATTGGTTCAATTACCATTGCAGTTGAAGTAAGCGCCTAGCCAATTAGATAATCAGATTTCTAAGGGGCAATGTTTCATTTCCATAAACGATTAACCGTCCAACAAACTCTTCTGTTAAAAATTCATCACCTACAAACACCACAGATTCTTAGCCTTGCTAACGGAAATAGATTTAATGAATGGGGTCAGAAGAATTACAGATTGATAGTAAAGTCGAAAGATCACCATCTTTATTAACCTGAAAGAAGATTTTCTACTGAACGTTTAGATCTACGCTTTCGATTAGTCGGAGAGGAATAGGCGGAATTTAAGGAAGTGAGGTAAGAATCAAACAGTTTCATACTTCAAAATAAAATTATTGCACACTGCACATCGCTCCTTATGATAGTAGAAGAAAAAAGACAAAACAGAAAAAATTCACAGATTGGTGCTGTGACCACAAGATGAAAGCATTATAGAAAGACAAGATAGGAATTTGATTCACACCAACTTGGTTAAGACACCAGACTCAAATCTTAACAAATTAATAGACCATGCAAACATCTTTGGGTGAGTGGTATAAACAAAGATGCATGACACTGCTTCGCTATGGTGGGTTACAGAGTGCTACATTTACATCCAAAAATATCAAAGCTTCACAATGACGATTATTTGAAGAAACATATTGTTGCTACACTAGCTAACCAATATACATTCAATTGTCAACATTAAACCATATATAATGAGAAGAGAAATCGAATTGTGACATATCTGAAACATTGAAGCCATTGTTGTGAGTGAATAGGCTAAACAATCATAGTAATATAAATAAAAACAATATATTTGTAATATCCCAATGAGTAGAAAAATTAGATTTCTCGACGTGTCGTGACTCAGTATAAGCCACTTCTTGTGGCAATATATTTTACCACTAAATAAATTTCAATTTCTTTGTAACATATGTATGAAGCTAACCTAAATGATCCAGCATCTAAAAGATTTCTAAGTAACATATCGCAATTATTTCGTTTCTCCCCTAATCGTATGGTACATAATAGTGTATAACTTATAAATGGAACATCTGAAGTGTCCAATGATCTGTTTCATTTACAAATATTATAAATTAATCATTTAAAAGGAATCAAACTATAAAACGTTTATGAGAAAATTTCAATTCACTTACTTTATAATCCACAAAGGGATTCTAAATTATATGTAAATATACAGCATATTATTTATCGAATTCTGAAGTACAGAAATGAGTATTTATGTACCAGAATAGGGATTTGTGGAAGTTGTAATATTTTCAGTAGTTGAATTCATGGGTCGATCTAAGCTAGACCATCATTAAAAATCTGGAAGCGCTGGATGTTCGTCTCGTCCTAGTATGGGCCTATTCAGTAGTGCACATCCACGAAAAACTGTGAAAGTGCAATCCGATTCGTGTCGAACGGACAGGTATGCATTTCAGACAATGGATGAACAGTTGCGCAAGATCATGGATAAACTGAAGTTAGACAATAATAACGTTAAATGCCAAGTCAGCCGTCTGGATGTTAAGCAATGACGACGATAAAAATCAGTTCTATGAGAGTCTGAAATCAATCATAGCGAAGTGCTTAGAAACGAACTGACTATCCTGATGGGAGATATAGACTACAAAGTCGGGAGGGACAACATCGGATATGAACATATCATGAGAAAACATGGAATAACCCGGAGAAGAGAATGAGAATGGCGAGAGATTTGAAAATCTAAGTGCATTCAACTAATTGGTTATAGGTGGCACAATATTCGCACACAAACGCATATACAGAGCTACATGGGTCTCACTGGACAACACTACACAGAACCAGGTCCATCATGTTGGCATCAATAAAAAATTCGCAAAGTCAACGGAAGACGTGAGAACCAGTAGAAGAGTTGGCATAGCCTCCAATCACCACTAGCTGGTGGTTGCCAAGATGAAACTGAATATAAAGAAGCAATGAACAACTGAGGAAACAGCATTACAAAGGTTCAATACAACTTTATTTCGAGATACTAACAAACCCACCCAATTCAAGATAACTCACAACAAGAGGTTCCAAGCCTTACAAGATCTACTGAAAGAAGAAGAAACTAATATGGAGGACAATTGGAAAGGGATGAAAGAAGCACAAACTTCAACGTGTCAGGAGGTTCTGAATCTCAACAAGAATCATCATAAGGGATGGATCTCTATGGAAAGCGTGGACAAGATTCAAGAAAGGAAGAACAGAAGATAACAATTAACAACAGAAGAGAACGGATAAAATGAAGGCACAAGATGAATACACTAAAGCAAACAGGCAAGTGAAGAAAAGCATTGGAGATGACAAGAAGCAACACTTAAAAGACGTGACAATTACAGGAGGAAGAGCTGCAAGAGAAGGAAATATGAAACAACTTTATGATTCAACGAAGAAACTAGCAGGGAGATATAGTAAGTGAGAGAGACCGGTCAAGGACTTAGTGTAAGCCACTTCTTCAGAGAATAAATAACCGAACTAAAATTAATCCAAGTTTATATAGTACCTGCTTTTTGATTGATCACATAATATTCTTGTTGTTCCGTTGTATTATTTAAACTTGGATTAATTTTAATTCGGTTATTTATTGTCTGAAGATTTGGCTTACACTGAGTCTTAAAACGTCAGAAAATCTAATATTTCTACTCATTGGGATATTACAGATATATTAGTTTATTTATAATAATCTACCCAATGCTCAATTTATTCGAATTTATGGAATCAAAACTTGGTAATGATATCTGTAATTATTGAAGTTTATACGAGGTCAAAAGTATCGAAATTCTGCTGTGTAACATGAGTCTCTAAAACTAGTTCGGAACATAGAACATTTAGACTAAGACAGTTGTTTGTAATATGAAAAATGTTGACCTATTTAATTAAAAAGTTTTTAGTAACAAATAAGGTAAAAATCAAGAATAAACAATAGACGATTTACTCACATGGGTTCATTATGCTTCTGAGTATAACTAGATAAGGTCGGCAAGAAAGTTAATAAATAAGAGGGGACAACATAAAAATGAAAGAAAGGTACACACGAATACATGACGCATAAATTAAATGATTCTATAATCCCTGGAACTACGTAATTTGTTGAGGCTAATGTCCTCTATATCTGACTCCAATAAATAATATCCCGTTAACTGAGTATTTAATGTAGGCTAAATCTCCTAGTAGAATTATGGATTTTACGCGAGATTATTCAAAAGCCTGAACACCAGTTGTAGAGATAATTTATTGTTAATGATTAATAAAAATCCGCAAGCGTACAGCGAGCAAGCACACGATGAAACAAAGTGAGTGTGTGTGTGTGTCTGTGTGTTAAAAATCCATATATATTTTTGAGAGTTAATCGGGTGTGGATAAATTATCGATTATCAGTACATCGCAACCAATAGGAGGATAGCTTAAGAGTTAATGTACAACATGCATTCGATGATACACACCGAAATTAACATAGTGAATTAAGAGTCTGAAATGCACACCAAAACTAACATGATGAATAAGTGTCTGAGTTACAATGAGTAGACAAAAGATACAGCGGTCGAATGGGCTTGCCACAAATTATACACAGTAGACGAGCCATTCACGTTTCAATAGGATGTGTATTGTTTATTCTGTATAAATAACGTGAAGAAATTTATTTAAACCATCTGAAGGATCTTTACAGGAACACTAGTTGAATGTAAGCACATAGTAAACTGTAGTCCAAACTGATAAAATCGAACAGTGTTCGTCAAGGCTCTCCGCTTTCCCCAATCCTATTCGAATTTGTCATGGACATTCATTCAAAGACAACACTGTCTTGGTCTCAGCATTCAAGGGTCGCTCTCTTTCTACGAAACTCATTTATTAGCTCTGAATATACATATGACATAGATTTAGTAATATTTACAACAGTTTAAGAACAGACAATAAATGATTCACTCACTTCTTCACAAGGTGCTTATCAATCTCGCTGTATAAGGAAAAACAAGATAGATTACTTTGAAATAATTAGATTGAATCATTGTAGACAAGCAAACCTCACGAATTGTTTGTGCCACTTTCTGTCGAAGATAGTTTTTTTTAAATTTTTTTTTTGGGGGGGGGAAGTTTTTACTGCCTATATATACCTTTGAACTCTAGGTATAAAATATAGTTTACTTTTGAATTCATTTGGTGTTGTTTGTTTGAATCTTCCCATTCATGTTTAAGACCAATCAATTAATCAGCAACAAGTACAGAAATGAATTAAAACTTCACCCCATCGCACAAGCTAGTGGCTATCAGGACTGAGTAGCTAAATGTGTAATGTGATGGTGTTTGAAGCGAACGGTACTGGATTCGAGTCCCTGAGTGAACGTCAACTCTGGAATGCAGATACATCCAGTTGACGATTCCCAAATAGTATGAGACGCCCGTCGTGTATACCACTAATAGGCACCATCTATGTTTGCCTCAATTCTAATGTTTTTTTTTAAACGTTGCTATCTCTTTTAATCAGATTTTATGATTTCCGCTTTTATGCAGCAAATTTCTTTTTATTGTTTTAACTATTACTATATATCTCTACGATAAAATAAATAAATAGAGTTCATGAGCCTTCTTGACACCTATATACCACCATCAATTCATTGTATTTATTGAGTACGTACATCAGTTCGAGTTGCCACACGATATTAGCTCAGAAATGCAATTGTCGATTCAACTCACATAGTGGTAGAGGTAGTAAAAGTATAAGCAGTAATCGCAAAGATTAGGGTTTGAAGATGCTATTCAAGGAGCGTAATCCAGTGAAATAAATTTGGAAAGAGAAAAAAAGGAGACGAAGAATTCTGAAAATTGGAATTTGGTAGAACGCAAAGAGTGTATGCGTCTGCACCATCGCAAACGATTTTGAGCCATGTCATTTATGGTCTCTAACCATCGGTTGCTATTATCTCTCTGATCCCAACCAGTCCACTTGTCAGTGACTTCATGGATTTGTGCCATGTTTTGGTCTGGTCGTCCATACCTTTCCTCCAACTTACTCTTACACCATAAAACATCGCACGTTGGGGCATTCGGTGGTTGGGCATACGTAACACGTGTCTCAGCCATCTCAACTGATGACGTTTCACTACTTCATCAATTGATTTGCCATCCCTTCCTAGTACCCGTTTCCTAACAACTACATTACTTACTCGGTGGCTCCAGGGTATATGAGTAATGCTTCGAAGATACCTATGATCAAATACTAGTAACCTACGAATATCCTCTACTCTTACCGGCCATGTTTCACTACCATAAAGTAGTACGGAACATTGATATGTTGATTTCTCACTTGTTATTCAGCAATTCCTGGAGACTGTTTAAATTAGGGAAATAAAATAAATTAAATAGTACAGTATATTGTATAAAAAGTTTCTTGATTTAAACGAATGGTTACATTATTACTGCACTATCGAGTTTATTACTGACACTCAAATATAAGCCGGCTCAGTAGTCTAGTGGTTAAGTGCTCGCGTGCGAGATCAGTAGGTCCCGGGCTCGAGTTCTGCGAGGCGGAGTCGTAGGTGCTCACTGTTGAGGAGTCCAACAGTAGGACAAAACGGCCGTCCAGTGCTTCCAGGTTTCCCATGGTGGCTCATGATCTCAACTATTGAAACTATATTTGTTGAACTATTAATTGATAACATGAAAAATAACTTGGATGTTTCATCACTTAGTATTTTATTTCGAGCTTATTCAAGAAAATGAATAAAGTTACAATTTATTGATTATTATTAGGGTTCAAAGAACATGGTACACTAAATGATTGTCTATTCATTATGAAATATTGAATTATGAATTTGTTATAATGCTTTTATCCTTAGACGTTGAAAAAAACTTGAATTCAAATTGATGACAGTACTATTTTCAGTAGAATATTGATATGATTGTTTTCAATCGAATAAAAATCCTTCCAAATACTTTTGGTTCTTACAAATAAAAATTGACACTTAAAACTTTACACATATAAGCAAATGTAAACAATTAACTAAACGAGATAGAGTATAGTTAGTTGTATTTTTCTAATTAGTTATTGTATCTGGATGTGCCATAAGCAACTAGACTGTTTTAAATAATCAGTACAACTATGTATTGGTCTATTTCTTCTAATTTTCGGCTTTCTATGATAAAGTTACTTTGTGATTATCTATCAGATTGACTAATTTCATTTATGACTATATCCTACGGTTAAATATATAGTCAGTGGGTCTTTTCACATCTGATTTCCATATACATAAACAAACTTATTCTTCTAATATTTTCACGACATTTTATAATAAAGACCTATATTCATATCTACATTATAAGAGATTTCGAATTTAACATTTTGGCATGATTAAACAGCTGTCTAGTGCATAGTTGTTTTCTGAACCCTATTTATATTCGATGAATCTCAACTTTGATTATTTTTTTCGAAGAATCTCGGACTAGACTGCCAATGGAAACATTTAAGTTATTTTTGATTTTAACCACAGAGATTTTAACAAATATGGGTCACTTTTATTGCAAGATACTGTTACGTATTGTCATATATTTCATTGTTCGTTTGCTTAAAAATACCCCGAGTGACACAAGTAGCTTCTATGCGTTGCATCCCTTGTTGCATAATCTGTGTTCATATCATCGTTTCATATTATATCATGTGTTTCTGATTTGTAGTATGATTTATATGGTGATTATTCTGTTATTTACATTGTGATGAATACTATTAAGTTATTATGACTAACATTCAAACTAAACCGACGGATGAAAGTGTCGTTTTACTAGTCATTTTGTCAACTATACGTTTTCATCCTAGACAAACTGTTTATAGTTACACTATCTTTTTAATAAAATCGATGACTGAAGGTTTTTATTACTAAAGAAATGCATCAAATCATTTGATTAGAAATTCTAGTGTTGCAATATACTTTGTTGGGATTGTATTATCAATTCCATGAGAACATTATCGATACGACTACTACTGTCATTCTAGTATCCTTTTTGAAATTTACTATTCTATTCCATTTCATTTTCTGCTTCGATGCTACTTGTCGTTCTATCTTCTCTTCATGAATTTATAATTTGGTCACTATTTATTAGATTGTTGTTCATCTTTATTGAAAATATTACAAAATTTAATTTCGTTAGTTACCAAAACAAACAACTGCATCAGATATAAATCGTCAGTCTGCTTAAATTACTTCAGTATCATTTGTAGACTGAATCCAATTTCTATGTGATTGTTTTACTGAAATCGTAGTAAACACCAGAATACCTGACGATTCGTGATTCCTAGACTAACTGATATTCACTACTATTACTGAAATAATATGTCAATATTTCAGTTACTATTTCACATATGGTTATCTCCATTGATTAAATTTATGGACAGTTAATAATATTAAGGTCAATGTTATTGGTAATAATAACTGAACGATCTCACTCGGAGTATTTTCAATGTCACCAGTTTTGGACACTGTATTTACGGTATTGACAAATGGAAACACTACTGAATTAATCCCCAGAAATTCCAACACTTACTTATCTTTTAGTTTGAATAGTTATGTTGTGGATGCGGAGAGGGGGGGAGGATGAACCCAGAAAATTTCAAAATCCGGATATCAACTCCGGATCTTCAAAAAAAAGAGGAGGTGTTGTGGATGCGGAGGAATAGACCAATAATTATCATGTTAAGCCCAATGGTGTCCTTGGACTTTAAATGGATATTTCCTATTGGTCGATATCTGTTCACTTGTTGAATATTGTACAAAATGTTGTTTTCTATTCTATGGTACGGTGTGGTATGCTTGGTTAGTATATAAATAGAGTATGTTTGAAATATAATGATTCATATCTCAGAGGCTGTGGCTTGTGTTCTGGACTCAACTGGCTGGGCTGGACAGGGAAGCAGGACCAATCAGAACTGTAGGCCGTTCATTCGTGTTTACGTGTCACTGTAGTCGATCGATAAGTACGCTGCTCTCTAATTTTCCAGTCAAGGACACAACAATTAGCACAGGGTAAAAATCGACCGCAACATAAAGCCATAACAAGTTATCTGAGTAAACTCACTCGTCTTCAGTGATTTGTTTGTTACTAAATGTATAAGTATGTTATGAAACAAAAGAGTGAAATAGATTCTTACTTTCAATAAATCAGATAGCTTAAGAAATATGATCCATACTTAATGGATACTACTTGAAATTTTATGTATTGTGAAAGGGATAGAAATTTAGAAGTTATCTTAGTAAAAACTGGGGTTTTTTTTAATCAAAGTGTGATTGATAAGCAAACTAAATTTACTTGATGTTTTATTGCTTAGATTTATTGTCATTTACGAAATTGTTAATGTTGTGTTAGAAGTTTCAAAGCAATATCAGTCCTTGAGACATTACTAAAAGAGTTATTGACCTCAAAACGTTCTGTTTCTAATATTCTATTTGAAAAGAAAAAGAAGCATTAAAGTTGTCGAAACCACTAGCGTAAATTAATACCCTGAAATTGGTAGAATCCCGTTCTCCATCATCTTTCTAGAAACTTCTTTTGCAGTAAATTGCCAATTTTATTGTTTAGCTGGAAACAGAACAATGGAATATATGGTCCTCTGGATGAATCAGGCATAGGCCAAATAATAAATTACAGATGCTGACAGGAACACTGCATAAGCCGAGATTTCTCGAGAAATAAGAATAAGCTATATGTTGAAAATGTGGCTTGATTTTCAGAAAGACGTTTTTTAATATTGGTGAATGAGTAGTACATATATTTTAGATTTACTTAGCCAATAAAAGCTTCCAAATCTCTCTTGGTTTTCTATGTTAATTAGTTGATATGTACACACTTATAGTAAGCGTATATATCAGTATAAGAATTAGACGACCTCGGATCATTACAATGCGACGCCAGACAATCTAGTATCGGATGAAAATAACAGTACATAAAGCAGAAAACTATGTATAGGATATTTCATAAAGTGATTATTTGTATGAATTACAGTTTGGAGTCGTAAATGAACGAAAAGTAATTGTTTTTTATACACAGCTTGTTGACTTGAAAATCCATGGTATCCTGAGTTATTAACGAATTCGAAGAAAAGTGAGAACAATTTTTTTCAAAAGATGGTTGCATACATACATTTTTACCAGAACAAAAGAACATGGAAATATTACATTTGTTAACAACATTTTGTGAAGAAATTTATTTAAACCATCTGAAGGATCTTTACAGGAACACTAGTTGAATGTAAGCACATAGTAAACTGTAGTCCAAACTGATAAAATCGAACAGTGTTCGTCAAGGCTCTCCGCTTTCCCCAATCCTATTCGAATTTGTCATGGACATTCATTCAAAGACAACACTGTCTTGGTCTCAGCATTCAAGGGTCGCTCTCTTTCTACGAAACTCATTTATTAGCTCTGAATATACATATGACATAGATTTAGTAATATTTACAACAGTTTAAGAACAGACAATAAATGATTCACTCACTTCTTCACAAGGTGCTTATCAATCTCGCTGTATAAGGAAAAACAAGATAGATTACTTTGAAATAATTAGATTGAATCATTGTAGACAAGCAAACCTCACGAATTGTTTGTGCCACTTTCTGTCGAAGATAGTTTTTTAAAATTTTTTTTTTGGGGGGGGGAAGTTTTTACTGCCTATATATACCTTTGAACTCTAGGTATAAAATATAGTTTACTTTTGAATTCATTTGGTGTTGTTTGTTTGAATCTTCCCATTCATGTTTAAGACCAATCAATTAATCAGCAACAAGTACAGAAATGAATTAAAACTTCACCCCATCGCACAAGCTAGTGGCTATCAGGACTGAGTAGCTAAATGTGTAATGTGATGGTGTTTGAAGCGAACGGTACTGGATTCGAGTCCCTGAGTGAACGTCAACTCTGGAATGCAGATACATCCAGTTGACGATTCCCAAATAGTATGAGACGCCCGTCGTGTATACCACTAATAGGCACCATCTATGTTTGCCTCAATTCTAATGTTTTTTTTTAAACGTTGCTATCTCTTTTAATCAGATTTTATGATTTCCGCTTTTATGCAGCAAATTTCTTTTTATTGTTTTAACTATTACTATATATCTCTACGATAAAATAAATAAATAGAGTTCATGAGCCTTCTTGACACCTATATACCACCATCAATTCATTGTATTTATTGAGTACGTACATCAGTTCGAGTTGCCACACGATATTAGCTCAGAAATGCAATTGTCGATTCAACTCACATAGTGGTAGAGGTAGTAAAAGTATAAGCAGTAATCGCAAAGATTAGGGTTTGAAGATGCTATTCAAGGAGCGTAATCCAGTGAAATAAATTTGGAAAGAGAAAAAAAGGAGACGAAGAATTCTGAAAATTGGAATTTGGTAGAACGCAAAGAGTGTATGCGTCTGCACCATCGCAAACGATTTTGAGCCATGTCATTTATGGTCTCTAACCATCGGTTGCTATTATCTCTCTGATCCCAACCAGTCCACTTGTCAGTGACTTCATGGATTTGTGCCATGTTTTGGTCTGGTCGTCCATACCTTTCCTCCAACTTACTCTTACACCATAAAACATCGCACGTTGGGGCATTCGGTGGTTGGGCATACGTAACACGTGTCTCAGCCATCTCAACTGATGACGTTTCACTACTTCATCAATTGATTTGCCATCCCTTCCTAGTACCCGTTTCCTAACAACTACATTACTTACTCGGTGGCTCCAGGGTATATGAGTAATGCTTCGAAGATACCTATGATCAAATACTAGTAACCTACGAATATCCTCTACTCTTACCGGCCATGTTTCACTACCATAAAGTAGTACGGAACATTGATATGTTGATTTCTCACTTGTTATTCAGCAATTCCTGGAGACTGTTTAAATTAGGGAAATAAAATAAATTAAATAGTACAGTATATTGTATAAAAAGTTTCTTGATTTAAACGAATGGTTACATTATTACTGCACTATCGAGTTTATTACTGACACTCAAATATAAGCCGGCTCAGTAGTCTAGTGGTTAAGTGCTCGCGTGCGAGATCAGTAGGTCCCGGGCTCGAGTTCTGCGAGGCGGAGTCGTAGGTGCTCACTGTTGAGGAGTCCAACAGTAGGACAAAACGGCCGTCCAGTGCTTCCAGGTTTCCCATGGTGGCTCATGATCTCAACTATTGAAACTATATTTGTTGAACTATTAATTGATAACATGAAAAATAACTTGGATGTTTCATCACTTAGTATTTTATTTCGAGCTTATTCAAGAAAATGAATAAAGTTACAATTTATTGATTATTATTAGGGTTCAAAGAACATGGTACACTAAATGATTGTCTATTCATTATGAAATATTGAATTATGAATTTGTTATAATGCTTTTATCCTTAGACGTTGAAAAAAACTTGAATTCAAATTGATGACAGTACTATTTTCAGTAGAATATTGATATGATTGTTTTCAATCGAATAAAAATCCTTCCAAATACTTTTGGTTCTTACAAATAAAAATTGACACTTAAAACTTTACACATATAAGCAAATGTAAACAATTAACTAAACGAGATAGAGTATAGTTAGTTGTATTTTTCTAATTAGTTATTGTATCTGGATGTGCCATAAGCAACTAGACTGTTTTAAATAATCAGTACAACTATGTATTGGTCTATTTCTTCTAATTTTCGGCTTTCTATGATAAAGTTACTTTGTGATTATCTATCAGATTGACTAATTTCATTTATGACTATATCCTACGGTTAAATATATAGTCAGTGGGTCTTTTCACATCTGATTTCCATATACATAAACAAACTTATTCTTCTAATATTTTCACGACATTTTATAATAAAGACCTATATTCATATCTACATTATAAGAGATTTCGAATTTAACATTTTGGCATGATTAAACAGCTGTCTAGTGCATAGTTGTTTTCTGAACCCTATTTATATTCGATGAATCTCAACTTTGATTATTTTTTTCGAAGAATCTCGGACTAGACTGCCAATGGAAACATTTAAGTTATTTTTGATTTTAACCACAGAGATTTTAACAAATATGGGTCACTTTTATTGCAAGATACTGTTACGTATTGTCATATATTTCATTGTTCGTTTGCTTAAAAATACCCCGAGTGACACAAGTAGCTTCTATGCGTTGCATCCCTTGTTGCATAATCTGTGTTCATATCATCGTTTCATATTATATCATGTGTTTCTGATTTGTAGTATGATTTATATGGTGATTATTCTGTTATTTACATTGTGATGAATACTATTAAGTTATTATGACTAACATTCAAACTAAATCGACGGATGAAAGTGTCGTTTTACTAGTCATTTTGTCAACTATACGTTTTCATCCTAGACAAACTGTTTATAGTTACACTATCTTTTTAATAAAATCGATGACTGAAGGTTTTTATTACTAAAGAAATGCATCAAATCATTTGATTAGAAATTCTAGTGTTGCAATATACTTTGTTGGGATTGTATTATCAATTCCATGAGAACATTATCGATACGACTACTACTGTCATTCTAGTATCCTTTTTGAAATTTACTATTCTATTCCATTTCATTTTCTGCTTCGATGCTACTTGTCGTTCTATCTTCTCTTCATGAATTTATAATTTGGTCACTATTTATTAGATTGTTGTTCATCTTTATTGAAAATATTACAAAATTTAATTTCGTTAGTTACCAAAACAAACAACTGCATCAGATATAAATCGTCAGTCTGCTTAAATTACTTCAGTATCATTTGTAGACTGAATCCAATTTCTATGTGATTGTTTTACTGAAATCGTAGTAAACACCAGAATACCTGACGATTCGTGATTCCTAGACTAACTGATATTCACTACTATTACTGAAATAATATGTCAATATTTCAGTTACTATTTCACATATGGTTATCTCCATTGATTAAATTTATGGACAGTTAATAATATTAAGGTCAATGTTATTGGTAATAATAACTGAACGATCTCACTCGGAGTATTTTCAATGTCACCAGTTTTGGACACTGTATTTACGGTATTGACAAATGGAAACACTACTGAATTAATCCCCAGAAATTCCAACACTTACTTATCTTTTAGTTTGAATAGTTATGTTGTGGATGCGGAGAGGGGGGGAGGATGAACCCAGAAAATTTCAAAATCCGGATATCAACTCCGGATCTTCAAAAAAAAGAGGAGGTGTTGTGGATGCGGAGGAATAGACCAATAATTATCATGTTAAGCCCAATGGTGTCCTTGGACTTTAAATGGATATTTCCTATTGGTCGATATCTGTTCACTTGTTGAATATTGTACAAAATGTTGTTTTCTATTCTATGGTACGGTGTGGTATGCTTGGTTAGTATATAAATAGAGTATGTTTGAAATATAATGATTCATATCTCAGAGGCTGTGGCTTGTGTTCTGGACTCAACTGGCTGGGCTGGACAGGGAAGCAGGACCAATCAGAACTGTAGGCCGTTCATTCGTGTTTACGTGTCACTGTAGTCGATCGATAAGTACGCTGCTCTCTAATTTTCCAGTCAAGGACACAACAATTAGCACAGGGTAAAAATCGACCGCAACATAAAGCCATAACAAGTTATCTGAGTAAACTCACTCGTCTTCAGTGATTTGTTTGTTACTAAATGTATAAGTATGTTATGAAACAAAAGAGTGAAATAGATTCTTACTTTCAATAAATCAGATAGCTTAAGAAATATGATCCATACTTAATGGATACTACTTGAAATTTTATGTATTGTGAAAGGGATAGAAATTTAGAAGTTATCTTAGTAAAAACTGGGGTTTTTTTTAATCAAAGTGTGATTGATAAGCAAACTAAATTTACTTGATGTTTTATTGCTTAGATTTATTGTCATTTACGAAATTGTTAATGTTGTGTTAGAAGTTTCAAAGCAATATCAGTCCTTGAGACATTACTAAAAGAGTTATTGACCTCAAAACGTTCTGTTTCTAATATTCTATTTGAAAAGAAAAAGAAGCATTAAAGTTGTCGAAACCACTAGCGTAAATTAATACCCTGAAATTGGTAGAATCCCGTTCTCCATCATCTTTCTAGAAACTTCTTTTGCAGTAAATTGCCAATTTTATTGTTTAGCTGGAAACAGAACAATGGAATATATGGTCCTCTGGATGAATCAGGCATAGGCCAAATAATAAATTACAGATGCTGACAGGAACACTGCATAAGCCGAGATTTCTCGAGAAATAAGAATAAGCTATATGTTGAAAATGTGGCTTGATTTTCAGAAAGACGTTTTTTAATATTGGTGAATGAGTAGTACATATATTTTAGATTTACTTAGCCAATAAAAGCTTCCAAATCTCTCTTGGTTTTCTATGTTAATTAGTTGATATGTACACACTTATAGTAAGCGTATATATCAGTATAAGAATTAGACGACCTCGGATCATTACAATGCGACGCCAGACAATCTAGTATCGGATGAAAATAACAGTACATAAAGCAGAAAACTATGTATAGGATATTTCATAAAGTGATTATTTGTATGAATTACAGTTTGGAGTCGTAAATGAACGAAAAATAATTGTTTTTTATACACAGCTCGTTGACTTGAAAATCCATGGTATCCTGAGTTATTAACGAATTCGAAGAAAAGTGAGAACAATTTTTTTCAAAAGATGGTTGCATACATACACTTTTACCAGAACAAAAGAACATGGAAATATTACATTTGTTAACAACATTTTGTTTAAGACAAATCGTTAGACTTCTAAGCTGTTTATTGTAAGGTATTTATGATCATTGACATCTTAGCTAAGTAACTAGATGGCCTGCTTGAATATCTGGACTACCTGTTCTTGTCATTTACATATTTCAACAAGTTATCTCTCTTTTGTTTATTTCAACAAATCATTATGTCAATTAATTACATAACCTATTCAGGTGTGTTTGCGATAAGTTCACAACTTTTCTCTGTACAAGTTAGGAAAGAGCATAGTCAGAGACATTGTGGTTACTGGCAACATACATTGAAAAGAATGTACATTATTCAAATGTCAATTCCTGAACTAGTAACATCTAATTGGCAATCATTCAAATATTTATCGTCTGGATCGATCAAGAAATAAGAAATGAAAACTTGTTGAAATACATTATGTTAAGATATCAATACTGTACCAAAAATATAATACTGAATATAGTGAATAATAATAAAACTGAACAAATGACAAACTAATTATTTATATGATAACATTCAACTTTCATTTAAAACAATGTAATAGTTAATTTAAAAGATTTAAGAAAATCATTGTATTTTGCAAAACTGTTTGTTTGAATAGAATTGTCCAAAAAAAAAATATACAAATTTCAAAACTAACTTACATTCCCTTTAATTTTAAATATTTACTAAATAGTTAAAGTAGAATTTAAACAAAACATTAAAGATTCTTTGAATTTCAATGAAGTAATTTTTTTCTTTAAGTGAATTAAATTGTTCAAACAGATCAAAAATACTTTGAATATAATAAACATCATATATATTTTCAATTAATTAAGTTTTATACTTGATAATATTGTGATGTGGGTTACTTATATCCACAGAAGTAGTATGTAACGGTGGACAGGTATATAAGTGTATTTCAGTAGAAGATTGAAAAAAGTAAGAACAGGAATGAAGAGCAATTGATATGAAAATGCATGAACAATGAAATCTAAGACAATGGACTGATATTTGCAAAAGGAACAGTGAAGTTTGAGACAATGTATTGATGTTTTGTAAATTAACTATTTACTATATGGTTCTCAGATTTTATTGAGATGCTTTGTAATTTCGTGTCAAATGCATTCTATTGTCTCCACTGGTGTTCCATTCACTACAACATGACAACAAATTGGACTATTGGACAAGAATGTTTCATGTTTTTTATTGGTGATATAATCAAATATGATAGTTAAATATTAAGGAATTTACAATCAATGAAAAGTACATTTATACTATAACTACTTAATTGATGAGTTTATAAATAACAATATTAACTGTTCAAAATAAACTTAGTCTATTTTAATTTATTTTTGTATTGGTTACGTAAATCTACCGGTTGATGTTTAGGACTTCAATTGATCAGTTTCTTATTAGTATATGTGCATTCTGTAAGGATCGTCTCGATATTTCTTTCATTCACAAGCATTATAAGCTGAGATGATGGTGGCTAGCAGTGACATTCAGAATGCACGTTACGTTCTATTTGGGACTCGTCAGTTGGATGTACCTGTATCATAAAGTTTTTCATTCCAGATTCAACTATTAGTCACGATCATCTCAGATTATAATGCGTTTGACTGAAGGCAATATTGAGGCAATCCTCATAAGATACACATATACCAATAAGAGACTGATCAATTGCAGTCCTAGACATCAATCGGAAGATTCAAATAAACAGTACCAAGTGAATTTAAACTTCAATCTATTGCACAATCTGGATCCTGTAGCTAAGTGTATAACATCATGGCGTTTGAAGCGAACGGTACTGGATTCAAGTCCCTGAGTGAACATCAACTCTGAGGTTCAGGTACATTCAATTTACGAGTCCCAAATAAGATGAAACGTGTGTTGTGCATCCCACTGCTAACCACTATCCATCTTTGCTTATTTTAAATTCTGTTTTGAAAATCATAATATTTATCGATATTTGATATACACTAACCTCAACTGCATCCACTTACTTTATAATATTAAGTTCACTATGTAAATCAATTTTGATAAGAATTAACAAAATTATTCAATAAAATAATAATGTATTTTGCAAAAATCATTTTCACTAAGAAATCATATTAACCTTAGTGAGGAAAATATTCAATAGCCAACTTGTTTAAATAGTAAATGTTATAAACTGAAACCATTTTGATAAATATTCCTAAAGAATAAAAATTAGTAGGGGTTTTGTAGAGATTTTAGAAGTTTCACTGGAGAGTCCCATAGTAGGACGAAACGGCCGTCCAGTGCTTCCAGGTTTTCCATGGTTGTCTAGCTTCAATTGATTCATGATTTCAATCAGTGGAATAAAAATCATTTAGAAGTTGAACCGAAATAATCGTCTATCACTAGCTTGAAACCTTCCATGATAAATTTATAAAAAATTAAAACCAAAAAAACCTGAATGTTTGTACTTTTGTTTCAAATTAACTAAAATTTATTGATTATTTTGACTTGATGTGTTATCATGAACTTTGTGTTTTAATATTTAGAGTAAGTCAAGCGTCACAAGGCAAGTCCTCACTTAGAACTCTCAAGGCCAAAGGAGAAGAGGAAGATCAAAGAACACATTAAGCCAAGAAATGGAGATAGATATGGGAAAAAATGAACATTTGGATAGAACTAGAAAGGAAGACCAAGGATAGAGTGGTTGGAAAATGCTGGTCAGCGGCCTATGCTCTATTGGGAGTAACAGGTGTAAGTAAGTAAGTAAGTACGTAAATCAAGCAAGGAATGAACAAACAAATATGTTCCATAACAATGATTACTGATCATTCTATTGTAATGTAAGTCAGACAGATACACAATCGAAAAATCTCAAAATTAAATGGAAAAACTATTCGGTGCTTCAATCATTCTAATAGTCAGTCAAATAATTCTATTACAGATATATTGTTACCGTCCTTTTTATCGGTTTTTTAACCTTAATAATTTATACAGCTTTTATTTCTAACGGAATCCCTGTATACATGGAGAGGAGTAAATTGACTAAATAAGTTGAATGCACAGGTAATACAATCTACACCTAATGTTCGTAAAAATTAAAATTAATCTTAATTGGATCTGACGTTTACTCAACAAATAGGATCCAAATCGGATAGTCATTACTATTAGTGAGATTTTAACCTTCGATAGTGCTAAAGCAATTACTTGTAAAATTCACAGAATAACATGATACTGACACGTTTCAGTGAAACTTAATTAAAAAATCCAACCATGGTTTTGACTGGAAACCAACATGTTCAGGCACTAACATTTAATCTCACTGACATTAATATGAAAACTTAACAGTACATACTACTCAATCAATTTTGTTACCAAACATCACACACATTAACCAATTGTACTGGTTATTCACAAAATATTTGAATTTGTTGTAAATACTACCAATTCATTTAGGCGTAGCTAACCAACCATTTCAACAATTAGGCATTCTGTACTATTAATCATACTTTTGATTATTTAATTTCCAAACAATAACTAATCTTAACGTTTTTGGTTGTTCACAGTATGATTAATCAACACTATTTAATCATCATAGATGATTTTACTTCATTATACTACAGATTTCACTTTGAACTCAGAATCAAATGAAAATTTGTTTTCAATATGAGATTGGATTTACATAGGGCCTAATAGCAATGATGAAAATGACAGAGGATATTAATAAATGAAAATAACTTAGAATTAATTTTGACTGTAGAAAGTTGAGAAATTATATTATTTAAAACGATGTTTTCAATAAAATGTCCAACACATAAGAATATTCACTCTAATTGATCTTCAGGTCTAGAACAAAACAAAACAAAAAGTGTTAATTAATAGTTTAACGATGAGATAAAAATTATTGATTGTTTATAGGCGAAATAATGAAATCTTTTGACATTTGTAAACAAACAGAAATTGTCGAATTCTTGAGTCGATTAAAGCTAGACCAACATGGAAAATATGGTAGCACCCTAGTGTAATTCTCTTCAGCAGTGCGCATCTACGATCCCACATGTGGGGCTCGAACCCAGGACCTTCAGTTCCGCGCGCGAACGCCCAACCTCCGGACCAATGAGACGGCACCCAACGGTGTTAATGTCTAACCTCAACCAATCTACGACATTGAGCCGTTCAGTGCTTCCAAGATTTCCATAATGGTCTGGCTTTAGTCGACTCACGAAGTCAGCTATTAAATTACTACAATCTCCACAAAACCCCCTTTCTGAAAATAGAAACCTTTTTTAATATTTAAGTATATTAAAAATTAGTCAATTACATGAACTAAATAAATTACCTTAAAGTTTAGATAAACAGTTTAAAATAAATGAATCCTGAATAACAATATGAATCTTTATATTCATGATGGATTCAATGGTAGTTTAGTTCAGCGTATCATTGTTATATTTCAGAACTATTATTAAAATAGAACTAAACATTCTTATGGTAATTGAACAAACATTTTTCACTTGACTTTATAATAAACAACAGGCATCATTGATTTAATTAAAATGTACAAAATCTACCTACAATTGAAGGATAATTTGATAGTGATCAAATTATGTTTGTTTAGTTCTTTTTAGTACTGGTCAAATTTGATAAACTATGATTGATTACATTGTTGATAGTCTTAAGAACATCTTGTTAGCATATGCTTATGTTATTTTCTTACAATTAAAAAGTAGAAAGATTGAAAAATTAACAATCAGAAACACTTGGTGAAGTTTTTAATCACCTGTTTTTAGTCACTTATCTGACAATAAAGGCACAAATATATTACTGTAAAAGCCTGCTTTATATGAACCGAAGTGGAGATATTCTGCGTCTTGATATTTACAAATAAAGTTGAATAGAGAAGATTACTTTGTTGTTTATTTATGGCTGATGTATAAGAGATGAGCGCATCTTATTTTGCAGTTATTTAGTCTAAACAGTTGCCGAAAAATATGTGGTTGATGGTCACAAATCGTTCAAGAGATTACGAATGGTGTTATAGTCAGGCTATAAAATGTCTCTGAACACAATTATCTTGGACAAAGTACCAGCTCATGAATCACTTAGCTACATAATATATCTTTCATGCCTCTTCCTATTGGTTACACTAATTCAGCATAAGCATAACACCAACCAGTGTTGACTAAGTAACGATAAACAAGTTGATATCACTGTAGCAGAAGTATAGGAAAAATAATAATAGTAATACGTCTGTAGCAATATAATCTGCTTGAGGCCTATATATCGTACATTGGTTTCGATAGGTATAGAACACTAGTAGATTTCTTGTAGCTTTCTAGACCTGTGTAAACTATATGAGAACTTTGTATGAATTATGCACATTCTTAGAAACTGTTAACCTGGATATTTGCAAAGATTGAAATCTCTGAAAGATTAAGTGGCGACACGCAAGATAATTCATGTTTTACAGAGAAGTCAATTTAAATGGCACACATGAAAAAGGTAGGCTTCAAATAATAACTACCTTTGAGCACTTTCAATATTTTCAGTGTTAATATCTCAGTGAATGATTGAAAACTGGTAGTTTCATGGATTCTGTTCAGAAAATTGTTGTATCTACTTCATATATTCATGGTCAGCGTACAATCATCAACCGATTTCAGGTTGTGTTTAACACGAAAAGATAAATCTTGAATTCAAGTAAAATATTTTCCAGGCTTAGGAAACTTAATAATCATAAATCAAAGTGAAATACTAAACTGTTAAGATTCAACGTCAGTATGTCATTTTGAGTACCAGGATACAGTTAACCATAAATTTCTGCTAGTTACTTACATTAAACACAAAAAAGATTTCGTTTTACACAAAAAACCCATTCTGAGTAAAACAAAAATCTTAATCGCAACTATAGAATTAGAATCAATAATGATTGGTAATCGAATGGTAAAAAACTTACAAATTTGTAGTAGCAGTAAACCCTAAGTTAAATCAAAACATAATAATGTTATCGTGAAGAAAATGTGTGGAAATGTCATTCAAATATTATATAGACAGTGAAATTACATTCACAGATTATTCTATGAGCTTCTTTTAATAAATCCTCGAAAATACCACATACATCAGTAATTTAATAGTTGAATTCATGAGTCGATTAAAGCTAGACCACCATGGAAAACCTGGAAACATTGGAAGATCGTTCGTTCATAGTATGGGACTTCTGTAATTATTGATTGTATCAGCTTCTTCAAACCTTTGAAACATTTATATATCACAGCTTTGTTTTAATTAAACCATCATAAATGTTCAGCGTTTGTTATCTTTTAGAAAAAGCATACATTCTAAAGCAATGATAAATATTTAAAAAATCTTAAATAGAATCATTATAACTGTTGACATATTTCCTCCTTGTCTATTCTTTAATGAAACAAGAGGTAATTAAATGTAAACCAGTATAATATTAGCATCTTCTTAATGATGAATCTCATTTATTCATCAAAAGAATCGTAAATTGATCAGGTAAAGTTGTTCAGTTTAGGTCTTTCATGAAAATTCTGAATTTCATTTGAGAAGGAATTATCAGTGTATGCTACTCATCATACGATTAACAGCAATGACTAGAAATTCTGAGATTCAACCTGTTTTTAGTTGTTGCTGTTGTTGTTTAAATACTATTCGATCATTGATTATCTACGGGATGGGGTCGCTAACCCCATGCCCGACCATCCACCTTTATCCGAGCTTGGGACCGGCAGTAGCCTTCGGAGGGACTATTCTAGTTAATATATTCTAATTAAAGTCTACAAATGACTATTAATCACCAGTTCGAAAAATCATTAATATCTACTTTTTAAATCTATATTTTCCAGTATAAATCATTCAGCTTAGTTACTTACCTTGTGAAATGATCAAGCCTATAGTACATAATATACCAGTAACGTAAATATTCATGTTGTTGAATTTTAACTTTCGATTTGAGTAATAAGTAATTCAAGAAATAAATAACTTTCATATGATTTTTAGAAATGATTGTTTACACTGAATAACATTAAGTGTATTGTTCTCTTTTGTTTTTTTTTTTCTAATCAAATATATGCTATAAACATATGTAACTGTAATATGATTACTAATAGTATTGAAACCAAATGAAAAGAAAAGTAGTATTACTATGAATATTGACAAAAGTTACAAGTTTACATTAATGAGTGAGAAAAGAAAAGTATTACATAAACAAAAGGAGTAAGATAAACAAAACATAAACATTTAGAAATAGGATGAGAAAATTATAAAAATGGTAATTGATAAATAATTTAAATAATTCTGTTCACCCTCTAACTAAGTCCAATGGTTAAGTGCTCGCGCGCGAAACCAGTAGGTCCTGGGTTCGAATCTTGCAGGGGGCGAGGTCGTGGATGCGCACTGCTGAGGAGTCCCACAATAGGACGAAACGGCCGTCCAGTGCTTCCAGGTTTTCCATGGTGGTCTAGCTTCAACTGACTCATAATCTTAACCATTGGAAATACTTTTAATTTGATTACAAAATCGATAGAAACAGATTAGAAGTACTTTTTATGAATTAAGTTAGGTAAGTAGAGTAACTAAGCTGGGTGATTTATACTGGAAAATATAGATTTAAAAAGTAGATATTAATGATTTTTCAAACTGGTGATTAATAGTCATATGTGAATTTTAATTAGAATATTGTATGTGTGTAGTATCTTGGTAAACTTTTTTCGATGTTCGTATAGTATTTAAACAACAACAGCAACAACTAAAAACAGGTTAAATCTCAGAATTTCTAGTCATTGCTGTTAATCGTATGATGAGTAGCATACACTGATAATTCCTTCTCAAATGAAATTCAGAATTTTCATGAAAGACCTAAACTGAACAACTTTACCTGATCAATTTACGATTCTTTTGATGAATAAATGAGATTCATCATTAAGAAGATGCTAATATTATACTGGTTTACATTTAATTACCTCTTGTTTCATTAAAGAATAGACAAGGAGGAAATATGTCAACAGTTATAATGATTCTATTTAAGATTTTTTAAATATTTATCATTGCTTTAGAATGTATGCTTTTTCTAAAAGATAACAAACGCTGAACATTTATGATGGTTTAATTAAAACAAAGCTGTGATATATAAATGTTTCAAAGGTTTGAAGAAGCTGATACAATCAATAATTACAGAAGTCCCATACTATGAACGAACGATCTTCCAATGTTTCCAGGTTTTCCATGGTGGTCTAGCTTTAATCGACTCATGAATTCAACTATTAAATTACTGATGTATGTGGTATTTTCGAGGATTTATTAAAAGAAGCTCATAGAATAATCTGTGAATGTAATTTCACTGTCTATATAATATTTGAATGACATTTCCACACATTTTCTTCACGATAACATTATTATGTTTTGATTTAACTTGGGGTTTACAGCTTTGCCTTTGCATTCGCTTTCATGCACTACATTCGCCACTCTGCTTCAAATCTGCTCGATATGCTTGTAGATTATAATTGCCTTCTAATTTCAAAGACCGTTGAGGTTTGTGTAATAACATTTGGCAAAGTGATTGATTAGCGAAGCTAATCCATTACAGCTTCCGCGTGCAATGTTTTTTTATTAAACACCTCTGTTGAGACAAGACCAATAATTTCCCCATTTTTATTCATTATTTGTAAGTCTGTGTCTGCTGGTATGTTGACTAAATATTTGTGGTTCAAGAGGCCACAAATATTATGTGTTAAGACACTAATTTCCCCACTATTAACTAAAGAATTTCTACCAGCCAGGATCTTAGTGTATTTATGGCCTGTACGATTTCCCTTGAAATGTTAGCAAACTTTTATTGGGTTAATACACCTGTTTATATTCGGAAAAACGGTATAATTTCTATATGACATGACAATTCCAATCGGTGCTAATCAAACGCATATTTCTAGTAACCACTCCTGATGTCATAGGGCTAGTGGATAGTAAGTCTATTTGAACATTGATAGCGTTAAGAAGAGAATAATCAATCATTCACGTCTTCTGTATTGAGATTACATTAAATACCACTAATTGGAACAGTAGATGCTAAATCTTAAACTTCTTGTCTGGTAGTGTTTGTGTCGATTAGAGAAATTCTTGATAAAGGTGTGAATCCGTAATCTGGTGTACAGTTGACGTTTCATGAAGAATTTGTGTTTGTTGGGATTTCAGAATACAAAGTGGATTGGTTAATGAGTTTCCGTTGCGACCATATTTCGTCGTTTGGAACTGATTTCACCTTTTTGACTACTTCCAGATGCGGAAAGAATAATGTTTCACCTAAAACCACAAGTAGAATGAAGAAGTAACTTTTTAAAATCCCTTCTCATGACTGAACATTAAAATATTTTTACAGTTGAATTCACCAATCGATCTAAGCAAGACAACCATTGAAAACCTGGAAGCACTGATGATATGAAGTGTCAATCAAAAGTAGCCTAATGAGAAGGCCAGTCGATAGCAAACTTACGCCAGAATTTCTTCGTTATTCGCTAGGTGGAACAAACTCCTAGCAAGCCTCTGTTGTAGTAAAATTATAACCCAGTTCAAGAGTCTTCTCGAAAGTTACTTGTGTCGCCTATTAAATGTCAGTGTAATTATTAATGATTTATAAAAATAAGGTTCAGCATCTATTTAATTAACCGTAAATGAAGGTATAAGCTTTTAACTTTTCATGTAAATATCCAAAATCCGCTTATGTTCTCACTTATTATTATTATTATTATTATTATTATTATTATTATTATGATTGATCATCTGATAAACCTAAGATATTCTACTTTTCCTCTTCCAGATTTCTTGATTAAAATATACTTGCTCAAATGAATTAACTTCCTAGATTCATTTTATTTTCACAACGTAAATATTCACCCTAAAAATTGATATTTTACAATTGTTCTTTACTTTTAACTGAGAGTTTCATTGCATCATTCTAAATTGCTACTGCTCTGACTTTTATTCCACTATTGTTATATCTTGAAAAAAGCTGATTTTTCGATATACCGTGAATAACTGAGCACTAGAACACCAAAACCCTTCCAAGTCGTAGTAAGAAGACAGAAAACTAACGAAAGGAATATTATTCCAAACCGTGTCAATCATAGTACAAAATTGTCAGGTATTATAGTTTTTAGTGAGAACGAAGTCATCATTACAGTCTTCCAATCCGCATACAGGGGGTTATTAGCATTATCCAATCTGGAAGCTACACGTTGGAATTCTGGAACATTCTTCCGAAAGGTGATTGGATGGGACGTCTTCGGCTCCTTCTGAGCCTCTTACAGCTTCCTCGAGTTCACCGGTGGTCCGTCGTCACAACTATCAATTCATACAATGATGATAATTTCTTTTAAATTCTATGTGTAATATATATAAAACTGTCTATCCTCATTCTCTTTGACAAACATAGTTATTACACATACTTTTCGACGACAAATTAATATTCTTCTAAAGATTACAGAACCTGTAAACATATTGTGAATATTACGTAAACATTGTTGAAACTCTTGTGTATACTTGTATTTGGGAGGAAATCCGAAATTGTTTATTTACAACACTTATCCATCAATAACTTGTTTATGAATAATAATAACTTGTCAAAAAGAAAAGATGCCGTTAACATGCTTGTAACTTATTTCCATCGTTAAGCGATAAACCAATTCACCCCAGTCAAATAGTAATAATCAGGCACAATGAATCAATATGTCAACCACCAAAATACTTTGTTTACTAGAATAAACGGCGAGACTCTAATTTATGGACGAGCCAAGAAGAAGCGTTTGGGGGATTTCAAAGTCACGACGCCAATTTTAGTACCTGATGCTCACGTACGATCGGTTTGCAGCGGATTTTAGAGAAGACGTGATTACTACGAAGCTCCTTCATTTGTGACTGCGGCAATGAAATGACTTCAGTACCGCGTTCAGACTATCGTGATGACATCTTTCGATGTTCTTTATGTTGTAGAAAGAAGTCTGCTCGAACGAGCACCTTCTTCGCTCGATCGCTATTGAGACTGAGACAAATCACAATAATTGTCGCATATTGGATAATAAAAGCACCAGTAACACTGGGTGCAGCATTTGCAGACGTTACTGAGACTTCAGCTACCCAATGGTATGACTATTTCAGGGATATATGTGCAATTAAAATGACGCGTTTACGCGAGTCGTACTGAGAAGTTGGGAGTATTGTTGAAATAGATGAAACAGTAGTACGGAAGCGGAAATATAACAGAGGACCTAATATAAGGAAAGACTGGGTACGTAGCACTTCCGTAAATATGCCTCACAGGTACTTGGAATTTATCACCGATCAACGCAAAAGACACATTTGCAAAGGGTTAGAAACCGGCAAGCAACCACAATAATATGTGCAGCCGTGCATTACGACATATACAGATGATTGGAGAGCGTATATATGCCTACATAGACTTGGGTATGTGCATCATGTTGTTGTGCACAAGTGCCATTTTGTCGACCCTACGACCTGTGTTCACATTAATAATATTGGAGCCATATGGTCCAGGCTAAAGGATATTTTAAGACTTAATCACGGTTGCATAGGTCGACTGTTATGGAGCCATATGGATGAGTTCCTATACCGTATGCACTGTGATTTCAGAACCTCTTTCAAATCTTAATAAGTTTTTGAATCGTGTACAAGAAGAATATCCACTTCAATTCTTTAGTTTTTTATAATATATTTTTACTTCAGACTGTCTTCTGATTGACTAATAATTTTCAGGGTCACTTAAGATTCGTTCAGAGGTCATCCATAAATCAGTCTCGCCGAATAAGCTAATACAGTCAATGAAAAAACATACTATGGAAGTGATAAATCGAGGAAAGATAATTATTAGAGAAGATGAATATATGAATAATAATGATCTCATCTTGAACAATAAACAT